ACCTGAAATGATGATACGAGACATAAATGTGGATGGGATTATCAGTGACAGTGACAATAACAAGAAAAAAGTGAACTTACTGAAGGATATCTTGAAAGAGAAAGATAGTGAATCATGGTGTAAACAAGTGTGGGATGATGAGAACAAACCAAATGGTAACAAGCTAAGGACTTTCAGACTTTTCAAATTTGATGTGAATGTGAGCCACTATGTGAAATGTGTGAAGCGAAGGGATTATCGAAGTGTTTTATCTAAGTTTAGGTGTGGTAACCTCCCTCTATTAGTCGAAACAGGCTGCTATTCCAAGCCACCTATTCCTTTAAATGATAGAATATGTAAATTTTGTGCAGAAAAAAATAATTATGTTATTGAGGATGAATCACACTTTTTAATAGATTGTTTTGTATACAGTGACCTGAGATATCAACTACTACACAAGGCAGCTGAATTAAATCAAGACTTTTTTATTTTAATAGCATTCAGCAATTATCTTATTTGATGCAAGAAGTGACTTTACCATGTTTACAGCCGCTTTTAGCAAGCACATTATACAGCATGTATAGAAGGAGAGTGCATCTCTTCTAGTCTTAACGCTGTATATAATATTTTTATTTTGTGTTTTATATTTAATGTTATATGTTTTAAATGCTTTTAGAGTGTCTCATCAGCCCTAGAGGCTGGATATTGTACTTTTAATGGCAACTTGCTTTTGTTTAAAATGGGTTTTATGTACAATATGTGACACTTAAATAAACATTTCTTCTTCTTCTTCTTGTAATTGGACTAATCTTGTCTGTAAAACAAACATTAAACCTATGCGCATGATGCAGTTTCACGAATGCAGTCAGCAAAACAAGGCAGGAGCAAAATCGCTGACTACACATCTCCCTGTATGTAAATTGTGAAATGCTGAATACATATTTGATAAACAAGGTTCTAAAATTGTTATGAATCTAATGTTATTGACTGAATGTTATGAAATCAATTGAATGCTATGAAGTACTCACTGCTAATACAAGTCAATGCTGCAATTATGTGTAGTGTGTTTTGTTTTATCCAAGATGGCTGACATTTCCGAGCGAAAACATATATAACAAACTGATTTCTCCGGTCTCTTGTAGTTTGTTATATCCATGTTCTACTGTACAGGTTACAGGTTACAGTCCTACATTGTCCTAGTTGTATAGAACTTTGTGTAAAGATACAAAAGGAGGAGCGTTTTGAGAGTTCAAAGACTAATGTTTTGTTTGTTTGATATATAACCATACAAAGCCACACTCTGCAATATTCCATCAACATAACGGCAGTCTGTTGACAATCCATTCTGGGCAAGACAAACCAGCTGACATCATAAGCATCGATCTTAACAACTGGGATCACCTCTTATAAAAAACATGGGTTGCTGAAGATTAATTCTAACCTGGATCTTCACGTGTCCCAAAAACCAAATGGGCCTTAACTATAGACAAAGAACCAAAGTCTAATATCCTAAGACATGTAAAGAGGAAACCAATGCTATACTTTAAGAAGCCACATATGGAGACTATTGAAAGATAAACGGTACATAATTCAGTGAGTGAGTTGGGCTTAATGCTGCTTTAAACAGTATTCCAGTTATATCATGGCATGTCATGTTAATGTGGGAGGAAGGCCCAAAGTGATGCAGGTCAAAGACACAATTCAGACAATCTCATATTGGTTCTTGGCAAATTGCTTATCATGCTTATTATACCCTTTACATCTGGACATGTCCATGTACTTGCGGGGAATGACACAGGTAGACATTACAAACTCTGACTTACCTTCCTTGATTACAAAGACATGATGGCAGAAGCACCCAAATGAGTGTCTGAAATGAACAAGAAGATCAGTCAGTGTAAATTGTCAGAAAGAGCTAAGGATCATTCTGTGAATATGAGAGAGAAAATGAAACAGATACAGCTTTCTCATATACCATGTAGACCTGAGTGAGTGAGTGAGTGAGTGAGTGAGTGAGTGAGTGAGTGAGTGAGTGTCTTATGCCTCGTTTAGCAATATTCCAGCAAGATCACGGCAGGGGGACACACATTGTACCAATGTGGGGAATTGAACCCAGGTGTTCGCCGTGACAAATGCATTAACCACTTGGCTACTTCACCGATCAAATGAGTGAGTGAGTTAGGTTTAGCGCTGCTATGAAATGTGTTTCATTTATACAGTCTGCATCTTTAGCAATAGTGCGCATCCAAAGTTTACGTCTAGCAAAATGACCTCAGGTCTAGTAAGATCAGCTGAGTGATACTAGTCCATAAACTATGACTAAAATCTACTGAAAATAATGCCACAATACCTTAATGTGGGAGAAAGCCCAAAGTGATGCAAGATGTGTGTGTTTAGTACAAGCATGGGAGTAGTGCTGACACCTAACTAATAAACATCTTACGACGAAGTCACAACTTTTACAATTTTGTCCCAGTCTTTAAAAAGCAAGGAATTTTCTCTAGGCAGTCGCTGAGCTATCTTGGGCATCTTTCTGTTCTATGCATGATGAAAAATGTCAATAATAATGTTGAGTTGGAATTAATGTCCTTTTATACGGTTGTACCTAAACCATGTTAACAGTCGGCCAAGATCCCGTTTCTGTTCATGGCAAACATGAAACCTGTCTCTTAACCTTGCATATATTTGGGATTATTACATAACATGGTGTTGACAGTTTCAAAGAAATAGGGTAGATGATCACACCTGCAGATGACTGTTCTGCTTGTCACCTTGTTATTTCATGTATATCAGTACACAAACATGGAGTGAGTGAGTGAGTGAGTATGGTTTTACGCCGCTTTTAGCAATATTCCAGCAATATCATGACGAGGGACACCAGAAATGGGCTTCACACATTGTACCAATGTCTAGAATAGTGCTCAATGTTCTGGTTACCAAACACTTTGGTTCACTTGTGGACATTAAGGGTTGTGGGTGGCAAGAATGAGCTCTGCTGTATGACATCCGCAAAAATACTATAAGTCATCAAGACAGTTTTGATAGAATATGGTTAAAGAGGCAACACAACTAGTCACAGTACTCTCAAACTAAAGTGTTCACAACTGCACACAGATTCTCAAAAATCAGTCGTCTAGCAGAATTTAGTACATGATCCCCTGAAATCTTATAACAAATCATTGATGAAATCAAAACTTGAATGAATCAGGATCATTATCAAGTAGGGTTCATTTTCTGGGACATCCACAATTGTCATTCAAAACGTTCAGAAGATATTTTTCAATTTTGGTAATGACACAGAAGAATGTTCCATCAAACTTTGCTAAAATCACAAAAAATGGCCTAATGACAGTTGTCTTTTGCAAAATAACTTACATGATGGTGATGATTACAATTACAAAACATGACATCACTTTGTAAACACAACCTTTGTTACCTTGGTTATAGAAAATATTTTCTTAAATAATCTGTCATGAACACATTCCGATAAAATCTTACTTAAACTCACAATCTGAAATGATCTGGGTACAATTTTCAGTACAACACATGTCATTTGACATGCCTTCAAGAGTCATATGCACCATAGTCAACATGACATGACAAGTAAGAAATAGTGTTTTTGATTTGTCAAATATACAACCATTGTCAATAAACATCCAATTGTCATATAATGGGTAGGTCTCTGGACACATCAACAGAAAATAAGAGTATCTTTTAGGTCATTTACAGATAATTATGCAAATTATCAAACTATTAGTCTAAGATTACAAAAATCAATATCTAAAAGGAAGTAGCTGCAGCCTTTCACAAGTGTAGGCAACTTTAGGCCTTTTGGGTTTGAACTAAGAAGTTTGATTTGGCCGAATATAGCTGAAAAATGACCAAAATGTTACTTGCTTCATTTTGGCACTGTGAGGGATATCAGATTATCTCATTACGAAAAATTATGACAGGCCAGGCAGACTCTAAACAAACCTGACATTTTATAGACGGGAGCAGCTTCCCTTTAACTAAAGGGATATTACTCCAGTTGAACTGACAATAATGATCAAATGTTATCTGTGGGCAATTGTCTTTTTGCCTACATGGTAGACTTTATGCCACTGTCAAGAACACTAGTTACAGCTGGGTCTGTCTGTCTGACTAATCACTGACATTGTGACAACATATTCTAAAGGCACATTTCTGGACATGTTTGTTCAGATGGCGTTTGTGAGAGATGAAAATACTTTTTTATGACAGAATTTAACATTACACCTAAACAGTTATCGTGTATGTCGCGATTGAAAATAACCTGAATTAGCAATAAACACTATGAATCTAGCTCACCGAGGCTCGATAAAATATTTTTTATTCATAATAATGGGTATTCACCATCCAAAATTATACTTGTGTGATTACCTATTTTACTATGCTGAACTTTCACACATTCTTCAAGAACCAAAAAACCGATCGGTATATCCTCTCTCTGATTCTTCCTACTAGATTTTCTGAAAGGTTTGCAGATAGAAAACTAAGCTGAGGAATAAGTGATGGTCGGTTTAAAAAATGCAAATGTCAAATAAACTGTCAAGATGAAAAGACTGGTACATGCACAGTGCGTCACGCACAAAGTATCGGGATATGGTTATGCTAAACAAGTTCATTGCCTTTCGTGTTAAAAACGTGAAAAAGATTTAAAACATCTCTTCCTCGTCATGACATGACAAGTCGTTTTCACTTTTTGTGTTCAGTGGTCTGGTTATCTTGCATCTCACTTTGTTTTAGGTAGCTGTCATAAGTGTTCAAAATCAAACAATGTTGTTTCAACAAAAAGGATGCTGTCAGGTGAACAAACCTTTGACAAATCCGGAAATCATGACGAATTAGCCATTTCGCCCTTCGATGTAAATAGGCAGCCATTAAATACCCCGGATGAGCGGTGCCCGTGACGTCATGTCTGAAGTGTCAGTTTTCACTTTTATTTTCAAATGTCATTGACATTTGATAGCTCTAGTATTTTTCAATGATATATCAGTTTCTGTTTATAACTAGATAACGCCGACGCCTGAGAAACCTTCAAAACATTTGCATTCTTAAAAAAACAATAATCGGAAGTAGAGTTGAATTATAGAGGGCGTTGCGAATACTCTGACATGCGTACTACGGCACCCCGGTTGTTGTGATGGCACTTGCTGCAAATGGGGAAAATGCTGGCACAAATTTGAGAATCGGTTCATCATAATGGTAATATATTCATAAGATTTATACAGAAAGTATTCCACGTCATTTTTAGATCAATTCCATCCTGTAATCAAATTAAGAATATTGAACCTCGATCTTGTGATTGTGTTGCACACCTCTTCAACAGTTATGCGGTGTACAGCACATGCATGACAGAAGATCGGGATTTAATTGTAAACTGAGTGGTCCTACCCTTGGAACATGATTTTGTAGTGATCAAAGAAACCCTTTTATTTGTTGTTTAGATACTATGATCAGTGCTTGACACGGGCCAAAATTTGCCAGTTGTCCGAAGGACCAGCACAAAAAAAATCTTCTGGTCCGGTTGGATCTCTGATAGACACAATGGTGCTTAGAGTTTGGACTCGATCAATCGCAGATTTTAAAAGTCATTCAAACTTATATTACTTTGTTTGTCCCCAAAGTTACACCTGTGTCGATCTTTGATAATAACCAATTTTAAAGACTAATCGATGCGATTTATTTTGGTTCTCTGAGTCTGACATGATTCTGAAGAATAACTTAATCAATTAGTGAATTTCACAGAATATTTTTGTATGTGTGGAGTGACAACCGATTTTGAAGACAAGAAAGCCATTAGACATGGGTTACTATTTGGGGGTTATACAGAAAGGCAGTCTTTGGACTCTGTTCCAGAAGGAATGTACTACTACCATACATGCAAGTGTTTTGTTTTGATCAGCTCATGTAGGATCTGGTAAAAAAATAAAATTATCCACATTGTCAGAACAAAGTAAACCAATATTAAATGGATCACAAATTATTATGGTCTAAATTGTCAATATATATATATATATTATTATTACTGAGTAATGGGTGAAGCAGTTAAGATGTTCTCAGATATGTCTATCAGGTAGAAAATTATGACAAGCTGAAATACCCAGTATGTAGAATTTTACCTATTACATTGATAATATAAAAAACTAAATTGGATGAGCTACATAGCAGTGTGACCCCTTACACTTGCCTTCATCAGGAAGCTCCCTGCAGTGACTGAACATAAGGAGTAAACCTGCACTTTGGTACAAGTTATAATAGATCTCAAATAGAGGTATGAGAGGATATTTTATGTTGGCCTAACTAAGCCTCCAGCTAAGATGATGTTATCTTCAGTTATCCTTAGGGAAGACTTGTTTTATTTATTACTTTGAAGACTTAACATTATTTGTGAAAGACCCTGATCTGTACATGCTGTATGTTGGAAGTAGAAAAGACATTTCACATTATTCTGATTTCAAAAGTTATCACTGTGGTAAGGGTGTTATTTAATCTTGCATTGTTGTTTATATAATAATCTAAAGTAATGTATTGTGTTCACAATTCTTTTGTGATGGACCGCTGATTAAGGCCAAAAGCTTATTTCATAAACATGATGAAGAAATTAGTGCTTTTCTTTTTTCATTCTTTGGGTATTTTTTAGGGTGAGAGTAACATGATTAATCCAATATGAGTTTCTTTTTTAAAAAAAGCCCATATAATATGCATATTTTGGGTAAAACATTTTTTTGGTGAACACGGTGAATACTAGTTAACAACAATATCTTTATTAGGAGTCAAACAATGCTAAGTCTGTGTCACCTTGGTGTTAAGAACTAGATATGTGCATGCAGTCTCTTCATAATCACATTGAGTGTCAGTTTTGTGTTGTAAAAATGTAAGTTATTTCATGTAAAGAGTTTGCCCGAAAAACATACCAGTTATCACCAGTTATGAGAAAACAAAAAGAAAGTGTTTGGTTAATTTATTACATTTACAGGACAGTTAGACACAGGGAGTGCTATAGAAGACAAGAAGACTTCCTTTCTGTAGAAGAAGGTAGGAAGGAATGAGTATGGCATGCAAGAAACTGTTTACAGAAACTGCTCTTGATGCATGCTGAATAAGCAGGGATTTATCTAGACCCACCCAGAGGCCAATATTTGGTCCCAAATCTGCAGCAAATGTCCTGGATTAGTTGCTTGTGATTTGGTATTGAAACACATCCTTATTATGCTTTAAGACATGTCATGGGCCATCATCATGGGCAATCTCATTAAAATCAGATCTTGGTTCTTGCTAACGCTAAACAAAGATCTGAGGACATCCCATTACAGGTCACGTCAGAACAACCTTTCATCCGACCAATCAGAGCGTCGCTTACCAGATCGTGAAAGTGACAGTCGGAATGTGTTTTCTGATCATGCAATCTCGAAAACGTTAACGCAGGGTATTCCGAACGACAGTTACGTCCCGTACGACTGATTCCGTCAGAATTATCTCTCGCTGCCGTTGGATAAACATTTGAACGGAGGAGGTGTTGCACTGTACGTGGAAAGCACTGCCATACAATCTCAGTCATATATTAGACACTCCGGAATGTTCGTTTTTTCAGTTTTCAAAATTTTAATCAAGAACTGTCGCAACATATTTTCAAGTGTAGTCTGAAATGGAAGTCGCCAGGTTGAAACAAGTGCCATAAAGCTCGAGAGAGAGCTGCTTTCTAATTGGCTGATGCCGACTTCTTGTGAGTCATTTCAGTGGTCGGTCAACGTTCGCGATAGGTCGTTCTGACGTGATAAATGGGATTCCTCAGATCTTTGTTTAGCGGAAGCGAGAACTTAGATCTGATTTTAATGTGATTGTCACTATGGGTGGATTACGGTCCCCATATGTCCTGATACACACTGATCATGATCCTTGTCAGCACCATACCCATCACTGACCATGCTTGTGGTTCATAATGGTTAAATGACTTTTATCATGTTTTGTTTTAATATGGTGAAAAGGTAGATTTGATTGAACTTACGTTCTTCAATCACTCTCACTAGTTTTGTTCAGATGTATCCAAGATTCCAAACTAAGTACCCTTGGTAGGCAAATTGGGAACATTGTAGTTTTGTTCAAAGATGGATATCTTTATAAAATTCTTCTTTATTTCAGTGGTATTAGGACATTGTAGTTTCTGAATGAGTATGGCATGCAGGAAACTGTTGCAGTCTTGAACTACACAGAAAATGCAATGATGCAAAATTAAGGACTAAACATGTTATGGCCTCTTCCTCTTTATTGTTCCTGTTAACAGTGAAATACAGTTCACCTCACCCAAGTCATCATGTTAGTCTTTAACTATATCAACATCAACTGAGATGGGGTTTCCCCATTTCTATATTGTTAATGACATCTGCTGCAGTCTTTGGGTGGAATACAGGCTACTGAGCAGGTTGAGATAACTTCAAAACTTTCTCCATTTTTCTTTAATATGAATATCACACTAACAGTAATGGGAAATAACTATCCTTATTACACACCGACAATGTATGATTGTTTCACACAAGGCACACTCACTAGATATAGACCTTTACTGAGACTCCGGGACATTGTTCTCCTTTAAGACAGTTCTCAATCTTGTCAATGTTGTACATATTAAGCAAGAATGTGCCTATTACACCTGAGTGCATACTCATGGCTAAGTCATAGAACCATTCATTAGCTTGTGATTTCTGGTGCCCCCCGCCGTGATTTTGCTGGAATATTGCTAAAAGCGGCGTAAAACCATACTCACTCACTCACTCACTCATTAGCTTGTGACTGCACGTGTGGCCAAGCCGTCTGAGGTGCTGTGTCTCTTGCTTTTGTATACAAGTTGATAACCACTGCATGTTGTCCTGTAACTGTTGTCTTATGTATTATTTCAGTAAACATGCACAGGATGTAGAATTGCATGATTAGGCGTGCAGTGTACAAGCTTAATGAGCAAAAGTTACCCCGACTAGTAGTCGAACTTGGGAGGAAATAAAAGGCACAATTCCTGGATTACACTAATTATTGATGACCCAGGAAGATCCAGGGTAGAATAGGTCTTCAGCAACCCATGCTTGCCTTAAAAGGCGACTATGCTTGTTGTAAAAGTCGACTAACAGGATCAGGTGGTCAGGCTCGCTGACTTGGTTGATACATGTCATCGATCCCAATTGCATGGATCGATGCTCATGATATCAATCACTGGATTGTCTGGTCCAGGCTTGATTATTTACAGACCGGCGTCATATAGCTGGAATATTGCTGAGTGCGGCGTAAAACAAACCAACCAACCAATTATTGGTCTCCACAAGATGGTTTTTGATTCACTACACGTGGCGATAACCAAGCAGATTTCAGGGGGAAATATTCCATCCTGTCTATGAGGTCACGCTATCTCCACTCCATTCATGACTGTCGCAGTCAGTGCTTCCAGATCAGTTATCAATTGTTACACTGACTTCATGTGGCTACTGCCAGATAGATGAAAAGTACCCACGGTACCATCAGGTAAACATAATCATATCATTGTTTCCATGCCGGAACCCGAGATCTGGGGCTTATTGATGGATGTGAGCTAATTTTAGTTGGTTGGTTTGTCGTTTAACGCCGCACTCAGCAATATTCCAGCTGTATGACGGCGGTCTGTAAATAATCGAATCTGGACCAGACAATCCAGTGATTGACATCATGAGCATCAATCCACGCAATTGAGATCGATGACATGCATCAACCAAGTCAGCAAGCCTGACCACCCGATCCCGTTAGTCGCCTTTTACGACAAGCATAGTCGCCTTTTACGGCAAGCATGGGTTGCTGAAGACCTATTCAACCCCGGAATCTTCACGGGTCGAGCTAATTTTAGCGGCGAAAAGGCAAACTGGTGACTATCATTAGGAAATGAATAGTGATGTGTTCATAGGCTAGTTGGATCATCAGCTACTGCCCAGTCTACAACCCTAGTGTCACTGTCACGAATAACGCCAGTTATCATAATGTCGTCTGGGAACAAGATACTGTTGTGCCAACCATTAGTAGTCGGAAGGCGACACTGCAGGAATATCTGACATCTTGCAATGTCGACTTCAGACCATCTGAGATTTAAGTTCAACTCATGGGGAAACTACGTCTGAATAAGGAATCGGTTAAGTACAAGACCAATGTCCTGGCGGCACAACAGGGTCACATTGTGTTACGTATGCTAGTTAGACATTGTAAGCCCAACCCTACTGAGCTTATCTGGGCTAACTATAAAGGGTTGATCAACATAGCCTTTGTTTTGCTAGAATCCCACGAGAGGTATGGCCGAAGGTTGAAAATCAAGTTCTTGAAATAGAATGTCAGTACCGCCAGTATGACAGCAGAGATATCAGCCTTCTTGCACCACTTGTCATATCTCTGGATGATAGTACAGATTCAGATAGTCATCAGCTGAATCAGATGCTGGCTAAAGAAATCATCTGTAGAACAACAAATACTTCTTGATAATCCTCAACTTTCCAATACTCTTCCCATTTCATAGCTTCTCACTAATCCATCATTTTCCAAGCAAATATAAAGCAGTACATATCTTAATTGCCTCCCGACGCATATGTCAATGAAATACAAAAACAGCAATATTTTGAGACGGATGCACAGGCCAGCCTGAGGTCATCACCTCGGGACAGGTATTAGGTAAATACTTCAGGCTTTAGGCATTTTCATACATGCATGACAACACATGGATATTTTCTAATCTTATCATTTTACCAGTAATAGTACCTTTTAGGCTGATCACAGTGTCAGTTAGGATAGGCTTGATTAGGTTGATATGTGTTAATTTTTTTCATAGCCCTATGATTTGTATTTATTAAACGAAGCCAGAAAAGCATTTTTCTAGCATTTCCGACTGTACTTTGGTATTCAGCCCTAAGTCTGCTGGAAGCTGGTCAGATGTCCGTTCAAAATCCCAAATTGAAATTAAAATGTTTTCGCTTCATGTTAATATAGTTGTAACTGGTGTTATTTCTTTGAAGATGTGACTTGTTTTTCACCGATAACAGGGCCAATAAAATGGAAGAGGCTTAGTGCATATTTATATATCTGAATTTAAGAAGCTAGAAACTTTTAGAAAATCCCTGTTGTGAACAAAATAATTATTTTTTCCCCAATTTTTCTGCCAATGACACTTAGCATGGAGTGCTAGATAAATCCCTGGTGACTAATACCTGTCTTCAATGTGTAAATTGTGGCCCGGTTGTCTAACACACCACTATTTGCTGTGCCTAGTTGCTTACCTTTGGCAGTCCAAAATCATATGATCATGGGTTTGAATCAAAGATTCACCCGGATTTTGTGTTAAAAATCCAATCATTCCTCCCACTTTTAGCTGACACCTTGTGATAGAAATGAAATACTGTTCCAAGTGGCCCAAACCCAACTCAATGTGTTATTTGTTGATAATGACTCCTTCTTTCCCCAGTCAGGGGTGAAGGCCAGAGAGGACATGGGGTCTCGACGAACAAGTTCCTCCTCGTCAATGTCTGTGACTGACACAGAAACCACAAACAAGCCAGCAAAGAAGACACCAAATGATTTTATCTTTGGCAAAGCTATTGGAGAAGGATCTTTTTCAACTGTAAGAAAGATTATCATTGTAAAACTAATGGGCGGGATTGTTTGTTGCAGTCTGATTGGTTGAAAGCATTGTTAATATGTTAATTTATACATATATACTTTGTCCTAATGTCAGAGTAATGATAACGAACAAGTTAAACATGCATTTAATTTTATATTACTGCATCTTAGATCTAAATCGAGAAAGAAATACTTTGATAAACAAAATGTGTGCATCTCCCAAATGAGTAACGAGTTCAGAAAAAAAATCATTTTTCAAATACTTAGATTTATAGATTTGTCTTTGATCAAGTCCTTGTGATTAAGAAGAATTAGGAAGATATTATATGTGAACTGTTCCTGTGTATTAGTAATGCTTAACCTCACTGGTTCAGGTGTACCTTGCGAAGGAGGTTGGCGTGGATAAAGAAGTAGCAGGTGAGTTGCACAGAGTTGGAGGAAGGAAGAACTCAGTGGGGATTCTGGGGCAGAATAGATAGATCTGCTTGCTGGATCTGCTCACTCGTGAGGATCTAGGAATTACAGTGTCTGCCCTGGCTGATTGTGTGTCAACTGCATTTAGCATTGTCAGCCAACTGTCAACCTCTGGTTTGTTGGCCGTGACAAGATAATTCCCGTGACATAGCTGGAATGTTGCTGACTGCGGTATAGCATAACATTCACTCTCTGAAGGAAGGAATGTCTTGTCCTTACTTTCACATTCATGGTTCTTGCACTGTGGCATAGTAGGAGTGTTGGTGGTGCTAAGCAACACTTTCTTTTCTGCTTTGAGGCCTCAATATCGATCATGATTTTGTATTTTGGGGCTGCTGTCATATGACTGGAATGTTGCTTGGAACATTAAACAAATATTTTTTGCGATTGTGTTCATCATAATCAGTCTGCAGTATTAGCCCCTAGTCCAGACTTGAACTTTCTAATCAGCATTGAGGCCTCGAAATCTTTGTAGGAGTGAGTAAAACATTCAGTATATCTCATTCCTGGAGGGGCGGGATGTAGCCTAGTGGTTAAAGCGTTTACTCACCATGAAAGACCTGTGTTCGATTCCCTACATGGGTACAATGTTTGAAGCCCATTTCTGGTGTCCCCTGCCGTGATATTGCTGAAATATTGCTAAAAGCGGTGTAAAACCATACTCACTCACTCACTCACTCATTTCTGGATATTGAAAAGGAACTTAATTAGCTGTAACATTATGTTGTTGTGGATATTTTTTACACCCTGATGGGTTTCAGAATGGTTCATATTCTTGGACTTTCAATCAAAGGTCTATCAAGGTTTGCTTATATGAAAATCTCCTGATGATATTAATCTCTAGAAAAAGTCTGTTGTTTCTGAGCGCAAAAACTTCTACACCCACGAGGGTGTATGATCGAAGGAATTTTTGGGTTGTGTTTGGGTTGTGTTTGGGTTTTCTTTTGTTAAGATTAGTAGCCGAATCATTTCTTAAAGCTTTTATATGATTGGATCAATAGCCCAGGCATCCTTCATTTATATTTGGGGGGGTCAAATGTTGCTTAAGGTTTGCCTGACATGACCTCTGGAGGGGTTGTGAGATCTTCATGAGTAAATGACTTCAGTGAGATTTCATATCATCACCAAAAAAAAGATTCTTAAAATTTGTCTTCCTCGGATACAAAACATAGCGTAAACGTAATATATTTAACCCCCAAGGTTAATTTTTTTGACAATTTGTTTCAGTGAAAGTTTTGGACAAGAGGCATATAATCAAAGAACGCAAGAACGAATATGTGATGAGAGAAAGAGAGGTTCTCATGAAGTTAAATCACCCCTTCTTCATTCAACTCTTCTGCACATTTCAGGACACAGAGAGACTTTGTATCCTTCAGCAGCTACTTGACACAAACACACCACACCACAATTAAGGATGTCTGCTTAATATTAAACTTTTGGGGGCGGTCGGGTAGCCTAGTGGTTAAAGCGTTCGCTCGTCACGCCAAAGCCCCGGGGTTCGATTCCTGACATGGGTACAATGTGTGAAGCCCATTTCTGGTGTCCCCCCGCCGTGATATTGCTGGAATATTGCTAAAAGCGGCGTAAAACCATACTCACTCACTAATATTAAACTTTTTCAAACCTAGACAACTTAATTATATTTTCCCATTGAAAAAAGAAGGTCAATGTGCATTCTATTGAGCTAAGTGCAAGTATTATCTCCTGTACCAGATTCATATGTTTCTATGGAGACATGTTAGGAAAGTACAAATGATGCCGGGAGAAATAATACACCAAAACTGATGCAATGTGATACATGATCTTCAATACGATACATGATACATTCTGACCTGTATCATGATATTCAGTAAACTATGTTTATAACGAACTGACGGATATAAAGAAATGTGTTTTCATCCCGTCCATTTGTTATACATATGCTGTATATGTGCTTATAACGAACTAAAATTAGTGGTCCCTTTGTGTTCATTATAACCATAGTTTACTGTAGGTATTATATTTACGCTCGGCTTTAAGGGGCTAAAACAAGGACTGGTCGGCTCGGAGTCAGTATACTGTGTCTGAGTGGGGTATTCATGTTAAACTGCAGCATGGTATCTTGGTGAGCTTACACTAAAAATCGGTATCAGTCCGGACTTGTACAAGCAGCCACACACACACATACACGTGCATGCACGTCGCTATATAAGTGCTATAATCTTGGACGCGACGTTAAACCAAATTTCACCTCACCTCATATACATGAGGTGTGTGCTGCTTCACCTGTGGTCAACATTACATGTTAAACATGTACTGTGTTTTATATTGATTCACGCTCACATGAGAGCTAATTTAAAGACTTAAAAGTAGGTTCTTTGAACCTGGCTTGTTACATGCAAGGTATACATGGTAGAGAACGGGGGGTGCAGAGCTCCAGATAAGCTTTTGGTGTTGTGGGTATTTTACCCATGCATTTTAAAATCATTGGGTATCAGTAATTCTATCTGCGTATTCAAATTTCTGTTACCCACTAGTTTTACACAAGTGGGTAATTAAGTTAAATATTTAAAAACACTATTCATCTAGTCCCTGCAAACTGGTGTCGTGTGGGTTTGAGAGCTTTATAGGACTCAAAAATACCACGTGATTCCACACGAAAGTGTGATGGCAAATGATCATGATGTGACTGTCATCATGGAGTTTGGCAAGGTTGACGGAATGCCCGTTTATAATTTCAAAATAAGTTGCTGATTTGCTAATCGAATACGCAAGGTTACTTCACAATATTTTGATGATACGCACAAATTTTATTTTTGTAGCGTATCTGTAATGTTCGTTGCGTATTTGATACGCTTGGATTTTATTTTACTGTGTATTTCTGCATTTCTGATGCATATTTCACGCAGATACGCAGCTTATCTGGAGCTCTGGGGTGGTTGGGTAGCCTAGTGGTTAAAGCGTTTGCTCGTCTCGCCGAAGATCCTTGTTCATTTCCCGACATGGGTACAATGTGTGAAACCCATTTCTGGTGTCCTCTGCCGTGATATTGCTGGAATATTGCTAAAAGTGGCGTAAAACCATACTCACTCACTCACTGGTAGAGAACGGGGCTAAATGTATGATTGAAAATCTGCCCACATTTGTCCAAATCAGCTGTTTTGGGGATCATTTTGCCTTTCCTGTTATTGGGTAGTTGGGTCTGTCACCATTGTTTCACATGTAGGTAGTACCACCGACAACAAATCTTTGCCGGCATATAATATAGATAGATGTTGCAATAAGACAACCAGTCCATCACTCCAGTGAAGATGTGGGCCAGAATTGGTCTTCAGCTGCCAATGCTTGTCCTAAGAGGCGACTAGCAGGATAGGGCAAACTCACTGACATAGTCAGTCATCCTCTCCCATTTGCATAGCTCAGTGCTCATGATGTCAGTCAAAGGATTGTCTGGTCCAGACAGATTCGTAACAGACTGTCATATTGATTATTGCTGAGTGCAGCGTTAAGCAACAAACAAACAAAAACCAGTAAATCTGGATGTATATTTGTCATGCACATCTGTGTAGAACTCTACATTATTGCATCCCATATTGTCAATGAAAATGGTAAACAAAAGTATAATTCCTTTGAATACCCTACCTCTATTACATCCTTGCCATAAATTCCTGTTTGGCTGTTAATCACACTATAAATCTTAATTTAAAATTTGAACAGACGTCCTCTTTACTGCCTACCTATGTTATAGTTGTTGGGGTAATCTATCCCCCAAAAGCCGTGCAACTGCGCATGCGCAAGACGGGAACACATCACTTCTTTCCTGAGAGTCCGGATGTCAACAACCACTATTTTGATCTGCACATCCAGACATTTTGGTAACGAGTTCTTCAACCTCTCTCTGCTGGATCTTCTCACATCTTCTGCTGCTTGTCATTAGAGGCGACTAACGAGATTGGGTGGTCAGGTCAGACTTGGTTGATGCATGCCATTGATCCCAATTGTGCGGATTGATGCTCATGATATCAATCACTGGATTGTCTGGTCCAGACTCGATTATTTAGCTGGAATATTGCTGGGTATGGCGTTAAACAACAAAGAAAATGGTAACAAAAGTATTTCTCTCATATTTGATTCCGTGTTGAAAGATTGTAGGCTGGAAATGCAGAGAATAGTTCTTGTAAAACCAACATGGAGTACTTCCCTTGACCAGTATCCAGATTTTGTGTTGAGTTATGCAAGAGGGGGAGAGCTGCTCCACTACCTGAACAAGCTGTCATCCTTTGATGTTGCATGTACACAGTTTTATGCTGCGGAAATAGTGATAGCGCTCCAGCATCTACGTAATCTGGGCATCATCCACAGGTACGCCTACATTTGTATTATACCATGTATAATATTAGTCATTGTAACCATGGTAACAAGTAGCTCTTTATTTTAAGACTGTAAGAGTTGCAACTTATTGTACAATTTACAGAAGATAACAGTAAGACAACAGATTCATAGAACACCCCTGTGGTTTAGTGCATATAGCATCTGCCTGGAGAGGATTGCTGGTTCAATCCTTTGGCTTTGTCAAACCACAAGATGTTAAAAGATGGTATTTGTTGTTACCCCCCTGTTCCGAGCATCAAGGGATAAAAGAAGGACTGTTTGGCTCGGAGTCACTATTCTGTGTTTGAATGAGGTATCCATGTTAAACTGTGGCATGATCTCTCAGTGGGCTAACACTGTAAAACTGGCATTAGTTTGGACTAGTACAAGCACACATGCTCACACAGGCACACATCACTAGGTGAATGCCAAATATCTTGATAAGGAGAATAATTGTTACCTTGATGAGATACACATAATTTTTAGTCTTTTTGGGTTTGAATTCAAAATGTTTAAACATGAAAATATCCTGTAGTACAATATTGAATTGATATTTCAGAGATCTCAAACCCGAAAATATTCTTCTAAATGATGAGATGCATATCCAGATCACCGACTTTGGGTCAGCCAAGATTTTGAAAGACTCTTCTCCAGTAGAAAACTCTAAAGGTGGAGGTGAGGTACTTAAGGCCATCACAGCCAATGCATTTTAGGTTTGCACCACACTCACATGCCTACTCTAGACCATCTTCCTGAGGCAAGGAAGTTAACTGACTATTATTAAAGTCCAGTAGTAGGCTGGAATTATGGAGTTACATTTTGGTTGGACTAACAAGTCTGTGCATAGTCCAATCAAAATCGACATCCAGATCATGACAACATGGCAGATATTTTCCAAATATTTTCATGTTCTTTATCTAGTGCTCAAGTGATTTGATGCACTTTGTGAGGTAAGACCATTTTTATCATAATAAAGATCTTGATTATCAATCAGATCATCTTGTTTGAACAAATGCAAGTGATATGAGAGGTAAAATCTGATTGCTCAACAGAAGGGACATAACTCGTGTAGCTACTGGTGGCACTACAATGGAGCCCAGAAATTCCAGCCTAGTTAGGCAAGGGTTGAAACTGGACTTTTACAGTCAGTTGACCTTAGACACAAGTAACAATTTGAAAAGTGGAATTGGGGTTCCTTGGGTCCTTGTGGTATTTACCCCTTAGAAGTTAGGGATGTGACACAAACCCTTTGACTTCCAATCTATATTTGGACTTCTTGAGCTTGTCATGACACAGCCACTTTCTCTCACATGCTCAAAAGGTGCAGTTGGGTGGTGTTGTGGTTCAAGGGTTCATTCATTACACCCCTGGCCCAAGTTAGTCCAACTTACATAACAGGCAATTACGTTGATAGACTATTGCTAAATGCAGAGTAAAACTTCATGCATTGACCACAAAGCTTTGACAGAAACTCTTGTGTATTATCATGCTAGATGGATTGTAAAGCCAGTTGCCTGTTCAGGTTTTGTAGACCATATTGCATGTTTCTTTTTCAAACGTTTTTATTACCTGTGTAATTGTGTTGGCGCCAATATCCATAGATGCCCAGTGGTCTCAGGTGCCACGATTTACTGTGCTTAGTTTCCTCCCTTAACCTTGCCAGGATTTACTGATGATGGATTTGAATCCCAGATTTGTTCCAATTATGATCCTTGGTCTGTTGGTACCAAAACCGAGTTCATTAAATCAATATAACCTGTCCCACTTTGGGCTTCCTCCGAAAACAAGCTATGACTAAAACATTATCACTAGCTGTAAAGTGTTGATATGACTGAAACATTATCACTAGCTGTAAAGTGTTGATATGACTGAAACATTATCACAAGCTGTAAAGTGTTGATATGACTGAAATGTTATCACTAGCTGTAAAGTGTTGATATGACTGAAACATTATCACAAGCTGTAAAGTGTTGATATGACTGAAACATTATCACAAGCTGTAAAGTGTTGATATAACTGAAACATTATCACAAGCTGTAAAGTGTTGATATGACTGAAACATTATCACAAGCTGTAAAGTGTTGATATAACTGAAACATTATCACTAGCTCTATAGTGTTGAAATGACTGAAACATTATCACTGGCTGTAAAGTGTTGATATGACTGAAACATTATCACTGGCTGTAAAGTGTTGATATGACTGAAACATTATCACTGGCTGTAAAGTGTTTATATGACTGAAACATTATCACAAGCTGTAAAGTGTTGATATGACTGAAACATTATCACAAGCTGTAAAGTGTTGATATGACTGAAACATTATCACAAGCTGTAAAGTGTTGATATGACTGAAACCTTATCAGTAGCTGTAAATTGTTGATATGACTGAAACATTACAACATTATCTGTAAACTCTACTAACTCACTTCGATATGGTTGTCATAGAAAGAAGTCTGCCCACTTACTCATTATTAACGAGGATGCCCAGTGGGTGCGAGAACAGCTTGCAGACCTGACCTATCACCTGTAGGTTTTTGGTGCAAGTCCTGTGTCAATCTCCATACCTCAGCTCATGGGTTTCTTCCAAATGGTGACATCACCTTGGGTTTTCCTCTCACACTAACTTACATGATATGATATGTAACTGAAATACTGTAAAAACCAACTCTTCCTGATCCAATAGATTTGATGAATTGATAACAGTTGACTTGATTGCAGAATAGATTTGATGAATTGATAACAGTTGAGTTGATTATTGTTCAGATGGCACTCCAGCCTCGGGTGGGCGGCGGAACTCCTTTGTTGGAACTGCCCAGTATGTGTCCCCGGAAGTACTCACGAGCAAGAAGGCATCATTCAGGTACAAGTTTGTCACATTTCATAATTCTGTCTGTTACATCAATGTAATGTCAAATCCTATTCATATGAAGGTGAAAGTGTTGAGGCGGAGGTGACAGTAATGTTGTGTTGTTGCAGCTCGGACTTGTGGGCGTTAGGATGTATCATATACCAGTTCCTGGCAGGCTTGCCGCCATTCAGGGGAGGGTAAGTGCACAACTTGGATTCAATTGATTGTTGTGTGTGATCATGCTGCTTGAGTTAGGCAAGACAAGACAAAGTTTATTTAATAGACAACATGCCAATCATGATACACACAAAAACCATCAGTATTGTTCACAAAGCTAATCCCGTATTGGAGAAGAGCCGTTACGTATCTTCACAATTGCAGGTGTTATTTAGTAATTGAGGCCAAGAATTTATCTTGTGGAACAGCTCTTCAAATTGCAGCACACCGTTCCATCCATTTTGACAATGAGCCATCGCTTCACTTTGCCATCCGGACCCGTGAAGATCCGGGTTAGAATAGGTCTTCAGCAACCCATGCTTGTCGTAAGAGGTGACTTGGTTGATGCATGTCATCGATCCCAATTGCGTGGATCGATGCTCATGATATCAATCACTGGATTGTCTGGTCCAGCCAGATTATTTCCAGACTGCCGTCATATAGCTGGAATGTTGCTGAGTGTTGCGTTAAACAACAAACCAACCAACTTTGCCATCCTTGATACCATTGTCCAGTGATGTCACCATCTCTATTTCTGTGCAGTTGTCTCTCACTCATGAGCTTGATGTCAACAACCAAACAAACTGACTCTACGTTCATACGCCATATCTACGTTCAACAGTGCGGCCCATACATTGGAACCCTTGATATGTTAAATTGAATCAGATCATTGCTCATAATATTGATCACTGGATTGTCTGGTCCAGAATCGACTATTTTTAAACCACTGTCATATAGCTGGAATATTTCTGATAGTTGCGTTGATCAACAATGGTGTTCAAGGCGGTGTTAAATTCCACTCACCGTCTTTCTCCCGCACTCACTTTAACCCTCTGCTGTTGTTTGACTTTTGAATATTTATGTGAATGCTTTCATTGTTTTCACGAGAAAATATTTGTCATTAAACATTGAGTAATGTAAAATTTACATTCTGCTTTATTATTCATACCTTCACAATCATGGTAACAATAATAAGCTTCTCAAAAGAAGTTAAGGACCACTTGATTCTTTCATATTACTATAGTTATTAAGCCATACCTGAGGATTCTTTCATATTGCTATATTTGGTTGGTTGGTTGGTTGGTTGGTTGGTTGGTTGGTTGGTTGGTTGGTTTTACGCCGCACTATTCCAGCTATATGACGGCGGTCTATAAATAATCGAGTCTGGACCAGACAATCCAGTGATTGACATCATGAGCATGGATCCACGCGATTGGGATCGATGACCTGCCTCAACCAAGTCAGTGAGCCTGACCACCCTCGCTCTTACGACAAGCATAGTCGCCTTTAACGGCAAGAATGGGTAGCTGAAGACTATTGCTATAGTAACAAGATCATGACATAACTACCGTCATATGAAAGAATCGGATGCTCCTTAACTTCTTTTGAGTAGGATATATAGCTTAATTTCTATAAGTATCATTTTTTTCATTGATCATACTGCTATCTATTCTTTTTCTTCTTTTTTTCAGGCATGAATACCAAATATTCCAGAAAATAACAAAATTAGAGTATGATTTTCCCGAAGGTTTTCCAGATTCAGCCACAGACTTAGTAGAAAAGTTATTGGTAAGTAGAATTCTGATATATGGAGGCTGTCAAATGAGTGTGTTTGGGGATGATAAACTTCCTGTATTTGGAATAAAAATTGTATTCAGTTCACCAAGGTGTCAATCGTCGCTCTACGTCAATCACTGGATTGTCTTGACTGAAATATCTTCAGGACACTGTCATAGAGCTGGAATTATTCTGATTTTGGCACTAAATACAAACAAGTCATAATAGCTTTAATCCCAATTCACTCACATGTTGGAGATACCTGTGAAGATCCAGGTTAGAATAGCTCTTCAGCAACCCAGGCTTGCCGTAAGAGGCAACTATGTTTGTTGTAAGAGGCGATTAACGGGATCGGGTGGTCAGGCTCAGTGACTTGATTGATGCATTTCATCATATCCCAATTGTGTAGATCGATGCTCATGATGTCAATCACTGGATTGTCTGGTCTGGACTTGATTATTAACAGACTGCCGTCATATAGCTGGAATATTGTTGAGTGCGGCATAAAACAACAAACAATCAAAGATGGTGGAGATGCCAAAATGTCATATGTTGTTTGTAAGTTACAGTTGTTCAATTTTCATGAAGATATAAATTAAGAAAGGATCTCTAGTTTGGTTTTATTTTCTCAGGTCATAGATGAAACAAATCGTTTGGGTTGCCCAGAGTTAGGAGGATTTGGCCCACTGAAAGATCATGAGTTTTTCAAGAGCATCAATTGGGACACTTTGAAAGATGGACCTGCACCCAAAATGATGCCATATCTACCAGCAACTAGTCATAACCCTGAGCTGTGGAGCTCAGAGAGGGTAAGTTGAAGGCGTATCTCCCAGCAACTTGTCATTACCCTGAGCTGTGGCGCTTAGAGAGGGTAAGTTGAAGGCGTATCTACCAGCAACTAGTCATAACCCTGAGCTGTGGAGCTCAGAGAGGGTAAGTTGAAGGCGTATCTCCCAGCAACTTGTCATTACCCTGAGCTGTGGCGCTTAGAGAGGGTAATTTGAAGGCGTATCTACCAGCAACTTGTCATAACCCTGAGCTGTGGAGCTCAGAGAGGGTAAGTTGAAGGCGTATCTCCCAGCAACTTGTCATAACCCTGAGCTCAGAGAGGGTAAGTTGAAGGCATATCTCCCAGCAACTTGTCATAACCCTGAGCTGTGGAGCTCAGTGATGGAAGCAGTTTAGTTGGGGCTGCCATGTTTTCCTAAACTGCTACTTGTCTTTTAGCTGGACTCCTTGTTTTGGACATCAAAGCTTTGTTTTGAGTATTTGTCAATTGACATGATTCTAAAAATTGCTGTTGACTGACATTGCACTGTTCCTGTGGAGGTAAATGAAGGAAGATAATATTTAATTAGTTCATGCAACTGTTTTATCAATTGTAGATAAATCCTACAGAGCACATTGACAGACTTTTCTAGTGGGTCTATCTGTCGACCCCTGTTGTGATACATAGAGGATATGATATGAGTGTTCATCTCATACTATGTTTACGACACGAGTGTCAAAATAATTAGGCATGAGTGTCGTCACATAGTATGACATGAACATGAATATAATTTTCTACTTATTACCAAAAAAGATATCTACATACAGAGACAAATTTGATTGTTTACCTATAAGGACAGCAAGTCGCAACTGCAGCGGAACCACTATTTGTCGATTTACGTCAACAATCTTCAGCAATGACATCGTTTCTACTGTGACATCATTCCGACCTGACGTCACAATAAGATTCGGATGACGTCAACAATGCTGTCCGGATGATGGAAACAATACACTGTTGACGCGTGAAGTGATATGACCCTAGGGCACATGATTGTTATGAACCCCGATATGTTTGCCCTCGTAGGTAATAAATCTAAATATTGGACAGATGATACACTGTGAATGAGGGGAGACACAAAACTGATGCTAGGAATGGATGCTGTGCCACCGTTGTGGTCCAAACTAGGGCTGAGTTTGTAAACTGTTTTGTGTTTGATTCAGATCACATTTTCTATTTTTTTGTTACTTCATGATGATAAAATACAACTTAGATTCAATTATTGGACACCCAGGTAGATACAGGTTAAAATGGATCTTCAGCAACCCATGCTTGTCGTAAGAGGCGACTAACGGGATAGGGTGGTCAAGACTTAGTTCATGCATGTCATCATATCCCAATTCCGAAAATCGATGCTCATGATTTCAACTGGATTATCTTGTCCAGACTCGGTGACTTTGTTGATGCATGTCATTGTATCCCAGTTTCCCAATGTCTGGTCGAGACTCAATTATTTTACAGACTGCCATCATGTGGCTACAATATTGCTGACTGCAGCATTAAACAATCAAACTTAATTATTGGTTCTTCCTTTTGTTTACAGGTTGGCTTTGATGACAAGAGACTAGTTGAGATAATAACAGACACAGTGTAAGTAAAAGGGATGGGAGAGCCTTAACTAGGTATTCTTAATATCGGCTCTGGTTGCATCAGTCAGACACACAGTTTCAGATTTAAACTTGGGGATAAACCAATTTTTGGAGGAGCAAGGAAGACATTTTGCACATTCAGTGTCAGGAGGAAACATGACAACTGTCTGCATATAGTTATTTCACTTTTGTCAGCTTTATGATCAAGCTTCAGAAATTGATGCTGGCCTAGGATTACAACTATTCCAGATAAAGTGAGATACTTGTCAGATTGATGTTGAAACCCAATCCCTCACCCACAACGACATAGACTCATTGTTATCCAAAATGTCCTGAAGAAATTTAATGTTTTATTTTTCCCTGTTTGTAATGACAGAGAAGAATGTCCTTTCACAACTTGATAACATCAAGACAATGTCCCACTGTCATTTGCCTCCAGTTACACCAGTATGTGTTTGTGTTGACAGTATGACGGCTGACGAGCGCAAGAAGGAGCTGGAGAGACAGGCCACAGGTAACAAGTACCACCAGTTTGTGGAGGGCAACCTTATCCTCAAACAAGGCTTGATAGATAAACGGAAGGTTGGTTCAGACTTTCTCTCTGTTTGGCTGATAGTGAGCAAGGTTTTGTGCTGCTTTCAGCAATATTCCAGCAATATCATGGCCGGGAACATCAGAAATGGGCTTAACGCTTTGTGTCTATGTGTGGAATAAAACATGGGTCTTCGATGTTACGAGCAAATGCTTTAACCAAAAGGCTACCCCACTGCCCCTATTTGTTAGAGTATTACATTGAACTGATTATAAGTCCCGTGTTTGTGTAGGATACAACTGTTTACATGATTAAAACATTGTTCACAACGTTATTACTTAGACGAAGCAGTGTGAATGAATTTAATTTTTCACTGGATTGAAAACTGATTTATTTATTCTTGTAACTGATAAGATTGAAGAATGATGATCTGGTCCTCGAAGGTGTCCAAGTTGCTGGAAACCTATGATCATGGGTTACATCACAGTTATGTTTCTAGGTTTGTCAACACCCATCCCTACTCCTGGGTTTCACGAAAGTGGTAAACATCTAAGACTTGTATCACTTGTGCTTCTCACAAATCAAATTGCCACACTGTGAAGTACTGTTCAATGCAGTGTCCGAAAGAAATTGCCTGCCTGCCCGCCTGCTTGTGGCTAGTAACTCTTGTGTTGGGCTGCATGACATTTTCTCCTAACTGCCTGACTGTCTGGCAGATAATTTTAAGACTACTTACGTATTCTGTTTTATTTTCTCCTTGTAGATTCGCAAGTAATTGTTTGCATTATTTCAGCTGAATCAAGACATGATTTGTTTCTCTTTTGGTTGCGATTTTTCAATATTTATTATGCCTGAATGCGGGCAGGTAACTTGGAAGATGGGCAGGCAACACTTATTGGTCACCTGCCCGACTGTCTTGTTGGGTTTTAAAATTATTTCAAATACTGGTGCAAAGCAGTGTTCAACCCAATTGAATCTGTGTTACTTCACTCACACAATTTGGATTTCCCTGAGTATGATGTGTGGTCTGTCGTTACCAGGCCAGTGCTTGCGTGTTTCACCAGGGGTATGTGTTCGAGACCTTCATCCTTCGAGCTTACTTCCCACTTCAAGCTGCTATGCTTTCATATGACTGAAATTGTGTTCAAATCTATGTTCAATCACTCACTCACATGTTTTGTTTGTTTGTTTGTTTGTTTGTTTGTTGTTTAACGCCACACTCAGCAATATTCCAGTTATGTGATGGCGGTCTGTAAATAATCTAGTCTGGAAAAGACAATCCAGTGATTGACATCATGAGCATCAATCCATGCAATTGTGATACGATGACAACTAAGTCAGCGAGCCTGACCACCTGATCCCGTTAGTCCCCACTTCTGACAAGCATAGTTGCCTTTTACGGCAAGCATAGGATGCTGAAGACCTATTGTACCCCAGATCTTCATGTGTTCTCACTCACATGTGCAACCAGTGAAAAGAGTACTTTGTCTTTAGCGGTGGCACGTGGTCCTGTGTACAGCGCACAGGTCACAATAAGATGAAGTAAAGCAACATTGGTTGGATGGGTGACTGTATTCAGCAGCTTAACTCCTGGGAGTTGCCTGCTCAACCCTGAAGGACGTGTAACACATGTGGTGTCTCCTTAGACAAGGGACTGTTCGAAATATGCCTCTGTTCACCCAGCAGTGAATGGCTACCCAGTAGGATGAGATGGTTATAAAGCTGTCAGCTTCTAGTGCCTCAAAGGCAGCTTGGGTTATATACTCCCCAGGAAGCTGAGAATGAAAATTTAGTACACACTGATCCATTGCCCGGGGTAATAATAGTGTAAAACGACTGTGAGCAGCCTGGCTGGTATTTTGTGCTGTATAAATAAATTCTTATGATAATATTATTACATTTGTCAATAGCAGGATGGACAGGATGTTATGAACTGAAAGGCCTGAACTGAAAATGATTGCAAAATACAACCTTCGTTTTCAGTGAAATATTTCTGTGACGGTGAGCTCTATCTTGGGGCCTGAATTAATTGATTGTGACATGCATCAACCACCATGATATCAACAAACTTATTTGATACTTATAAAGACAGTGAGTGGAGGAGTTTTAGGATTGAATGAATAAGTAGGGAAGGCTGCCAGCAAAGGGACCACATGGTCGATCACCATTTCGGAGATATCATTAATCGAAATGATTAATTGTTGTGTGCTATATAAGTGAAAAATCAATTGACAAGGCACTGCATTGTCTGTTTTACAAGCTATTCAGTTCATTTTTTTTTTATTTTGGAGAGATGACGTAGATTATGAGTCAACTCTTTAACTCAATACCGACCAGGTGGCCCCTGTACAAGTAGTCTTCCCCAAATATCGCTTTTCACTGCATTAACAATGTTCCAGCTTTTCGCGGTGAGAGTTTTGAAGGTGAACTTGCTTTTACAAGCAATGGGGATTTGTACATAAGACAATTTAGCTTGGGTCAATTGTGAGGTGTCGATCGTGTGACAAATACCATGATGTCATGATATCAAACCGAACTTTCCAGGTCTTCACAAGACAGTGACTTGACAATGAGTATTGATAATGCCACTTTCTGTTGCAGGGTCTGTTTGCCCGGAGGCGCATGTTGTTGCTGACAGAGGGCCCCCACCTGTACTACGTTGACCCTGCCAACATGGTCCTCAAGGGACAGATACCATGGTGAGATACACAATTTAGGGATAGCAACTTCTTTATTTACAATTTGTTATCCATAAATTGTGTCTACTTTGTCATCTGTCAACTTCTAAGTAAGGCTAAAAAATAATAGTCTTGGTTCTCAGGCACCGCCTGCATCATCATTATGTTTGCCGCATGTTCCATTTTTTTTCTATTTTTAAAACAAATGAAAAATCCTAAAATCAGATCAGATATAGCACACAGTTACTTCCCTTTACATGCGCACTGCTTTACTGCACATCTTGTGTTGTGGTCATGGCAGCAATAGGAGTTCGTATGCTTGTTTATGTAGGAGATCCTTTCCCAGGTTGATTTGATGGTACACAACTGTATATTTGGTTTGAATACTAGTTTGAACAAGCAAAAAAAAATTAAAAACAGCCTGCCCGCACATTATTTTCAAGTCATTGCCTGAGAACTAATTCTTTTATTTTTTTTAAGCCTAATGCCTATAAAACAATTCTATCGGTGGGGATTCCGGGTAAGGATAGGTCCCCAGTAAAATATGCTTTGTTTGTTGTTAAGCTCTGCACTCAGCAATATTCCAGCTGTTTGACGGCAGCCTCTGAACCGTCAAGGTACAATGACACACATATTAGCCAAGTCACCGAGCCTGACCACCCAATCCATTTGGTCGCCTCTTACTACCAGTATAGGTTGCAGGGGGCCTATTCTAGCCCAAAGTCCCCATGGATTGTCTGACATACCTGTCCTTCACTATCACCTGTCCTCCAACACTGAGCTGATACTAGCACTGAAAACTGTCCATTGTAGCTATACCTCCATGGGAGACCCGTGAAGATCCGGGGTAGAACAGGTGTCACTAACCCATGCTTGCCGTATAAAATGCTGTGTCGGAAGAGGCAACTAATGTGATCAGGCAGTCAGGCTCTCTGATGTGGTTGATGCAATATCCCAGTTGCGTGGATCGATGCTCATGATTTCAATCACTGGATTGTCTGGTCCAGACTTGATTATTTACAGACCGCCGTCATATAGCTGTAATATTGCTGAGTGCGGATATAACAACAAACAAGCCAAAAAATCCTCATGGGGATTCTGAGTTAATAAAACTGGTAGCTTGCAACTCCCCGTTTGCTGGTCGTAAGAGGAGACTTCATGGCTTGTGTGCTAAGACTGTGTCTTGGATGATATCATGTCATGGTGTGGATTATTGCTGATGAGATCAATCACTGGGTTGCCTGGTCATGACTGGATTATTTATGGGCTGCTGTCAAACAGCTGGAATATTACTGTGTGCTAAGTTAAACAACAAACCAAACTCAAATTAGAAGTGTTTGTCATTCTGAACATGACATTAATTAGAATCAGTTGGAAGACTGGAAATATGTTTGTTTTAACATCAGTGATTATTAAAATGAGATGTGTTTGGATAGTTACATGTGATGCTAATTCCAAAGTCAATATGACAAAAATTGGAACACTGAATAAGCATGCATACTCAGGGTTTTACCTTGACTTACAACGTCCAATTATTAATTGTAAGGGTCCTTGCAGGCAATATGAGGGTCCTGTAAAGTAATGAAACGGTGTAGTGTCTGTACATTTAGATCATGTCTTTACAGCCTGGAATGAATCAGTGATCATGTGGACAGTGGTTATAACTGATGGATGAAATAACAGATACCCATAATTGCTCTTTATACGCTTGTGTGTCCCATGGGACACAGTCAATTTTTTTCCTGCATCCATTCTCGCCCAATCTCATTAAAATCAGATCTTATTTCTCGCTACCGCTAAACAAAGATCTGAGGACATCCCATTACGGGTCACGTCAGAACGACCTTTTGCGAATTTTGACCGACCAATGAAATCTACATTAGCCAATCAGAAGGCAGCTTTCTCTAGCTTTACAACTCTAGTTTCAAACTGGCCACTACGCTTCGAAACATATTTTGACATATTCTCGATTAAAAAAATTAAAACTGATAAGAAGAACACTCTGGAATGGCTTATTGATGGCCTAGATTGTATGGATATAATCATAAAACCTGTAACTGTCGTTCGGAATACCCCGTGTTAAACATTTCGTGGTTGCATGATTAGAAAACAGATTCCGACTGTCACTTTCATGATCTGGTAAGCGACGCTCTGATTGGTCGGATGAAAGGTTGTTCTGACATGACCCTTAATGGGATGTCCTCAGATCTTTGTTTAGCGGTAGCGAGTACAAAGATCTGATTTTAATGAGATTGATTCTCGCCATTTGTGCATACTGGACGCACCTATGTGCGTCATGTCAAACCCTGATACTGTTGTTTCCTGTTTACTTGTGTTGGGCACTATTAACAAGGTGTTGTGAGGGAAGGGAAGGGAAGGGTTGTGTTATATTAGTCCTTGGTTCTTTCCTTATCTCTACCTTTCTGTCTGTCACAGGTCCAAAGAACTTCGTCCTGAAGCCAAGAATTTCAAGATATTCTTTGTACATACTGTAAGTACAGTACACATTGTGAAGTAGACTCTTTCGCAGATCCGCAAATTTAGAGCACCCCTGAACTCCCATGAACACCCCCAAATTATGGACAAGGCTCCATTGAAAAAAAGTTTCAGCTGAAAAGTAAAATATCCATTCTCATCCCTGTATAATGGATAAGGCCCAAGGAAAAAAATAAGCCTGGAAAGTCTCCAGCAATGAATTTGTTTTTTATGTGGAAAACATGTTTCCAGTATTTCATAGAACAAATAATTCAAAAATCAAATCTCTTGAATGTATGTAAAAAAAAACGTTTGTATTTTTCACCCACAGCCTAACAGGACATATTACTTAGAGGACCCTGAATCCCGAACGGAAGAATGGGTTCGTAAGATAAGGGATGTGTGGAGGCGGTACTACAGTTCCGACAACAAGCCAGTGGAGAGGCCCTAGCCATGGTGGGACTGTGTGTGTGGCATACTGACATACTGACATACCTAGCATACTGGATATCCATGTGCTCTACAAGCTGTAAATGCTGTACACAAAGATAAATCTAGGCCACACAACGGAGGGATTCCTTCAGTATCACTGCACATTCCCATCAAATTCTAATCTTCACGGGGGATTATTCTCATTCAGATATGAGCCGCCAAACTTTTTCACTTGTTTTATAAATGACCAATGGCCATTGGAACAATCTCCAAGGAGACATGTAATACTGTAATCATCCACCATTAAAGTTAATGAAATGGAAGTTACGAAAGCAGCCAATGAGAGAGGTTGTTACAATCCTGTTTATGATTGTCATGGTCCAATCACAATTTGTGTTTCAAAGTGGAATAATCTGTAATCAGTCTTGCCACTTGGTATTCATATCTGTGAATGTCGGAAAACACTTTAATGCAAGTACATGTAGGTTGTATTAGTGCGTCCATAGGTGCTCACATTAATGTGTAATTCCTCCCCCTTACATCCCCCCCTTTGTTGCCATCCTAGATTCATCTCTGTGTATATGCTCCCATAGTCAAGTTATTAGCAGTCTGCTATGTATTCCCAATTAAAACTTAATACTCCAATCTAGTACTATTCTATTCCACTTTTGATAGGGATAATGATGTCAGGTATAGTGAACTATACACTTGACTTATTACCGGTTTTAGAACCATGTGTGTATCATGGAAGGATAAACAATATCCCCATCAAATGTGAAGTAGGATATAAACATTTGTACTTCAAATAAGGTTAGCAAATCTGTCTTAAGAAAGGATTATATTCCTTTGACTCTTTCTGTTTTGCTGTTGATAATTAATTTAAAGAATTTCACTTTAATTCTGAACTTAACTTTTAACAGTGTTTCATGCAATAGATGGGACTGCTTCCAGACAGTACCTATGATGTGGTTCTGTTGCCATGGTTGCTGTTGTCTGTTAATGTTACGCAATGTTGCTTGTGTATGGATTCATTCATCTGCACTAGTTGCTAAAGTAATGTATGTTTTGCTGCTTCTGCATCTTAGCACATGCAGTCTTTTCTGTTTTTGTCTTTCAAATAGTCATGGAATGTGCCATAAATAAGTCCAGTCCATTCTTCAGGACGTCATCACACCTCACTCAGTCTTATTAAAATCCCATCTTTTACTCTGAGACAAAACCCCTATGCGTGTCCATTTGATAAACCTGATGCTACCTCCTATGGAGGGATTTCAGATCTTCACAAAGTTATCGTATCAGAGGGAAAGATCTGATCTTAATGAATTTGTGTGGATCATTTGTCTGCAAGTCATGACAATGCCAGAAATTGTTTACCTGTGTGGAATATGTTCATTATCGGAATCATGCCTATGTGGTATTATGCACTACATCACTATCAATGTGATGCCATTGTTGTTCATCACGGGGGACAGTGCAGTGGTCGAGGTCGCTGCAGTTCATTGTACAGAGTTGCATCCATTAGTCGAGTCAGGATCTGCAGATCCTGGGTTAAGATCCCAGTTTGTGATCATGGTTTTGTCAGCACCACAGCCATGCTTGTAAGTCTCACCCAAGTGGTAAACATCCGATACCTGCATTTCTTTAGGCCTCCAACATAAGCTGACAAGCCAGGATATTACTGAAATACTGTTTGATAATGATAAACTCACTAATTCACTCCTCTTTGTGAAGCCTAAATATTAAATCATTCAAAATAACATGGGCATGCCAGAAATGTGTAATCGTGAGTTCGAATCCCAGTTTGCCCGATTATGTTTCTATGTTTATCAGCGCCATGACCGTACACGTGGGTTTCACCAAAGTGGAAAATGTCTGAGTCCTGCATCCCTTAGGACTTTCTTCCCACATCAAGCTGAATGCCGTGATATAACTGGAATACTGTCCAAAGGAGTTAAACGCAACTCACTCAAAATAATATGCCCCACCTGCCGTGAAGCCACATTCTGTAAGCTGTTTCCAGATGGTACATGGAATTATTACGGTACCTGAAAGGTTCACATGTTATTTAGATAAAACTTTGAGCACCACATCAGAAATTGCCAAGTCAATTTGTACCCATAATAGTGTGAGTAAAGTGCAAATGAACAAATTTGCTGGTCGAACCTTTTGCTTCAGTAATCAATCATTAAAGCTATAGTACATAGAAGCTGAAATTGCAAATCTCTGAATCCAGTGTGTCATTGTGTTGAGATTGTTCTGTAGTAGGCTGTTTTTTCTCTCCTTGTTTTTTATATGTAAGACTGATGCTTTCACTTCTCGTTAAAACTACCGGTATTCTTTTTTGCTAGTTGTAGTGCAAATTAGTTTTTTTCTTGTTACATTATTTTTATCAGTAAGAATATTATGGTGATGTTATTAATTAATTAAGTGCAATTTCATGATTTATTGAACCTATGACGCAGAACCCAAAACATGCCTCTCCAGCAGGGGGTGCTCTCCATGCAGTCACCGTCTAGAGTTACCTCACCTCAAGCCCTCATTTTCCATCTCTGATCAGCTGGCAGCATGTTGTAAGCTATTCTTTAATATCCTTTGACATCGGCTTAAAAAATTGTTCTTTTTAATACTTTTGTGAATAATCTTTCCTTTGGAAGGTTATTACACACATGAAGTGCTGACATCGTTGTGGGTCAGCAGACCAGAATTAGTTTACCATGCCCTCTGTGCGAGAATAATAGGAAGATTTGTAAGTACAAGCACCACGTCTACTGTCACCAGTTGGATGACTAGATCAACATATCTACTGCAGTTGTGTTGGGACAGAGCAGTGCAGCTCTTTTAATTGTCTCAAGGATTCCTTTACTCATACTCAGCTTATAGCTATGCTGCTTTTTAGTCAGCTGGAGGTGATCGTCAACTAGAAACATCCTGCCCCCCGAATGAATTTTGTGCAGCTTTTAGATGAAAGGAAAACGAGAGCTAAAGGGGAGGTAACTCTGGCCGAAGACTTGATGGAGACACATGCAATATGTTTATAGGATCAAAGAAAGAAGGAAAGTGCTAATATCATAAATATACTATTTTCTTGAATTTAATTTATTTACTCTTTGAAAATTTATCCAAAATGAAGTATGTATCTATTAAAAAATATGACATGTAAAATAGTAAATGATGCACCTTCCCACCAGATAAAACAGTTCTATACGATTGCTTGTATCCATAACCACGATCATATATAATAGTAACTCGTTCAGTCATGTGTACTGTCAATGTAGTTGAATCCCTCCTTGAGTTAACACACCAGTACTGTGTTGATTTGTTGCAGACATTTGTCCTGTATAGAAATGTCTTGCCACTTACGGAACCCCTAATCTGTGTTTTGTTTTGTTGTTGACAAATCTGTACAATGTATAAAGTTTTGTTGTTATTATTATTTGTAAATATTGTATTTTGAGATTGATATCCCGAGTCTTAGTGGCCCACTCCCTGAATTGATTGTTAACTTCCATTATTTATACTGTTAGTACACAGATAGGGCTACTTTTACGTGCAGCTAACCAGTCCACTCCTTGCACCCTTCCTCCTACATGCTAACTAAAGGGTTACTTTACTTGGCTGAAAAGTTTAGAAAATCTGTTCTCAGGTAACAGCTTTTAACATATTATCACAAATGTAGAGATTATTTGTAAAACATCAGTTCCAAAAGGTTTACTACTTAGCCAACTGCTAAGAATTTTCCTCCTTTTTTAGTGAAATTTACATTTGGGCTTCTCAGCTCAGTTTCAATTTTACTGTTATTTCTATTTTATTTGTCTTCTAGCCCAAACTTGTCGTTCTGAGAAACTTTCAGTAAAATTTAATCTTAGAATGTAGATCATCATCTGTACTTTGTGGGGGGTGTTTATGCTTGGAATGAAGAGTACACTCACCACTGAAGTATGTTGACAATGCATTGGCTTAGCTTACTGGACCAATTCATTTTTATGTTACTCAGGCTTCTCATTATTGCAGACTGAATTTGGTCCATCACTTGGTGTGGAGGGGTGTCTAGAAACATGTAAACAATATACTGATCTTGCTAGGGGGCATTTGCTGATGCCAGGGACCTGGCAACCAATCTCATTTTCTTATTTTTAGCCTTAGGTAGTTAAGCAAAGTGTATCTTGATAAAGGCAAGGGTTTCCTGTGTGGAGTAACTGCACAACATTGATAATCTGCACGTGAAAAAAATTCTTGGAAATCAAACCGTCAACATACATTTTGTTCCTATGATTATATATGGTTAGAAGCATTGGTCTGGTCAATATTTGAAAATAAAATCAGAATTTTATCATAACCCATATATTGTTTGTGTTGTTTATTCCTTTGTATTGATTTATATGGACTTGGAAAACCAATTGTAATATGGTTCTCAGTTACAACTGTTACCAGGGGTCCGGAAAATTGAAAATCCAAATCGGACATTTGCATTTAGGCCACGCCCCCTTCAAAAAGCGTATTTTAGTACGACTTTTTACACACATTACAAGTTATTTACGTTCAGTGTTCCCTCGTTATTGCGCGCTTCAATATAGCGCTAACTCGGTTATAGCTCCCAGCATGGCTCCCAAAATTTACTAACATTTTTAATAAACTCAAGTTTTCCAATGACACGATGTTTTTCCCCCCATCTCACAAAACAGATCACGTAACACCGAACAATAAATCCGAACTGAAGTACGCAATTTATTCCTATTATTATAATATCTGGTAATAAAAAAATTGTTCATTGTTTATCTGGACTAATGTTTGCAACATATTTTATTAATTATATTCAAAATTTCATTCAATAATCATATTAATGTTTACAATAATTTCGGCGAAGTGATCGGTGGATCGCACAACTCATCGTTATTTAAGCAACCACGGTCAGATTACCGCTATTGACGCCTTGAAACGAACTTTAGTTGCAAGAGAATGGATACACATGTCATAAATGCTGTGCCATGACTCGCTAAAAGTCATATTTGAGGCAGTTTGACTATTAAATGTCAACATACCGTTTTCGCAATCGAAATACATGTAGCGCGGGAAGTCCCTACGGTGACTGGTCAAAATCGTTCCATGCGTTAAAAAATATCCTACATACCATCTGTACCAAAGTACTACAGAGAGCATTCACTACCCTATGTCTACAGAGAGCATTCACTACCCTATGTCTGCAGAAAGACGTCGCTACCCTATTTCTACAGAGCATTCGCTACCCTATGTCTACAGAGAGCATTCACTACCCTATGTCTACAGAGAGCATTCGATATCCTATGTCTACAGAAAGCATTCGCTACCCTATGTCTAAAGAGAACATTCACTACCCCATGTCTACAGATAGCATTCGCTACCCTATGTCTACAGAAAGCATTCACTACCCCTTGTCTACAGAAAGCATTCACTACCTTATGTCTACAGTGAGCATTCACTATCCTATGTCTACAGAGGGCATTCACTACCCTATGTCTACAGAGAGCATTCGCTACCCTATGTCTACAGAGAGCATTCGCTTCCCTATGTCTGCAGAGAGCATTCACTACTCTATGTCTACAAAGAGCATTCGCTACCCTATGTCTACAGAGAGCATTCACTACCTTATGACTACAGAGAGCATTCGCTACCCTATGTCTACAGAGGGCATTCACTACCCTATGTCTACAGAGAGCATTCACTACCCTATGTCTGCAGAGAACATTCACTACCCTATGTCTACAGAGAGCATTCGCTACCCTATGTCTACAGAGAGCATTCGCTACCCTATGTCTACAGAGAGCATTCGCTTCCCTATGTCTGCAGAGAGCATTCACTACTCTATGTCTACAGAGAGCATTCGCTACCCTATGTCTACAGAGAACATTCACTAGCCGAGGTCTACAGAAAGCATACACCACCCTACGTCTGCATTGAGCATACACTACCCTTTGGCTAGAGAGCACATGCTACCCTAGATCTGCAGAGAACGCATGCAGAGTTTCTTGGCACCTTCTGTCCATTAGAAGGCTGGGCCCATCTCTTCATAACGCAAGTTGAAGATGCACATAGAGAGCCGGGAACCAGCTTGCCCAGTAGTTGCTGGAAGCTTTCTGTCCAATTAAACAACCTAGGAGATATTCTATCGTGTGTCCAGTGGTTGCCAGGAGGTCGTCTGTCCAGTGGTTGCTAGGCACCTTCTGACCTGTGGTTGCCAGGATGTCATCTATACACTGTACCAGGTTGCCGGGATGTCGTCGATCCACTGGTTACAAGGCACCTTCTGGCCTGTGGTTGTCAGGATGTCATCTGTCCATTGAACCAGGTTGCCGGGATGTCGTCGATCCACTGTTTACAAGGCACCTTCTGGTCTGTGGTTGTCAGGATGTCATCTGTCCGCTGTACCAGTGGTTGCCAGAAGGTCGTCTGCCCAGTGGCTGCTAGGCACCTTCTAACCTGTGGTTGCCAGGATGTCATCTATCCGCTGTACCAGTGGTTGCCAGGAGGTCGTCTGCCCAGTGGTTGCTAGGCACCTTCTAACCTGTGGTTGCCAGGATGTCATCTATCCGCTGTACCAGTGGTTGCCAGGAGGTCGTCTGCCCAGTGGTTGCTAGGCACCTTCTGACCTGTGGTTGCCAGGGTGTCATCTATCCGCTGTACCAGTGGTTGCCAGGAGGTCGTCTGTCAAGTGGCTGCTAGGCACATTCTGTCCTGTGGTTGCCAGGATGTCATCTATCCGCTGTACCAATGGTTGCCATGATGTCGTCTGACCAGTGGTTGCAGGGCACTTTCTGGCCTGTGGTTGCCAGGAGGTCATCTGTCCAGTGGTTGCTAGGCACCTTCTGACCTGTGGTTGCCAGGATGAAATCTATCTGCTGTACCAGTAGTTGCCAGGAGGTCGTCTGTCCAGTAGTTGCCAGGATGTCATCTATCCGCTGTACCAGTAGTTGCCAGGAGGTCGTCTGTCTAGTGGCTGCTAGGCACCTTCTGACCTGTGGTTTGCCAGGATGTCATCTATCCGCTGTACCAGTAGTTGCCAGGAGGTCGTCTGTCTAGTGGCTGCTAGGCACCTTCTGACCTGTGGTTGCCAGGATGTCATCTATCCGCTGTACCAGTAGTTGCCAGGAGGTCGTCTGTCCAGTAGTTGCCAGGATGTCATCTATCCGCTGTACCAGTAGTTGCCAGGAGGTCGTCTGTCCAGTGGTTGCTAGGCACCTTCTGACCTGTGGTTGCCAGGATGAAATCTATCCGCTGTACCAGTTGTTGCCAGTGGGTCGTCTGTCCAGTGGTTGCTAGGCACCTCCTGTCCAGTGGTTGCCAGGATGTCATCTATACACTGAACCAGTGGTTGACGGGATGTCGTCGATCCACTGGTTACTAGGCACCACTGGCCAATGGTTACTGGAATGCCATCAGTCCAGTGGTTGCTAGGAGGTCGTCTCTCCTTTGGTTTCATTGCAATGGCTGTTCCGTGATTGAACAGACCAAGGATCAGAATTGCTGTGAGTCACTGAGACATTAACTCCAGAAGCACCTTGCAGGTGTTGACAAAAACGTCCCTTTCCCAAACATACCCCTAATATTTCGTTTGAAAAAAACAAACAACCTAAACTGTCAAAAACGACCCCATTAGTCATAATGAAAACGGCTTGTGCGTTAGACAACATGTGATTACTATATGTTGTTTAAATATAGTCAACTACAGATTACAACAGATAAACGTACTAAAACCATCTATAATTCCTACCATATTTCCTCAAACGCAAGGCCTCGAAAAAAGCCCTGGGGTACCGGTGTATCTGAAAACAATAAATGCCAGGTCTTGATAAAACGCAGTGTAGTTTTTATGTAGTTATTACATTCTTTGCGTAACGATCGATCCCGACACCGGAAGCTCTTGACATTGACTTTTCATCTTGCTTAAAATATGTGATCGTTTTCTTCATTCGGATTATGCTTACGCTTTTACTTTAACCTCAGTTCCTTTACTCCGGTATAAATTAATTACCAGATTATCATCCAACTTTTGAAAAAAATAATAAAGAGGGAGGCATTTTTATCATCACTTTTTGCTGAAAATCCTTATACAAAATGAAGTATATTGGAATAAAATAGAAATAAAAACGATGTGTGGAGGGAAGTTAAAAGTAAGGAGGGAGGGGTGAGAATCTAATTATTTTTTAATACTAGCCTTATGGACGTAAACAACAGAGGAATGAAATAGCAAGAATTTCATAACCCATACCTTATTGTATTTCGACTACTGTATGTGCCCCTGCTAAACAGAAGCACTTTGGAGAACTTTTAAACTACTTTACCTTGAGATGGATTAAACCAAACCATTGGTCGAACATTGAAATCATGTTAAACGCTTCGGGTAAAGACTGTCTGAAAGAAATGAACATCCCATCGTTTAATCAAGGGAATAATGGTAGCTTAGATTAGGCCTAGATTAGACTATAAAATCTAGTCTCTGAAATGAACATATCTTACAAAAAAAACCCAACAACAGTTGTTAAATTATCTTAATAAAAATAAAACAAAAGGAGCCCAGAGACTCTCTACATCCTGATACTGCAGTAATCTAGACTTGTCAGACTTGCATGGGCTGTATTGGATATATTTGTATCAGGGTCTGTATGACAGACTAGACCTAGATGGTAATTGGTTGTTTTCTGTTTTAACAGCATCTACACCTTTGATATTAAGATAATATAAAACACAATGTCTCATTTAATTCACAAAAATACACTGCTAAAAATAAGCACTTCCGTGGACACAAAAGTGGGGTTTGAACCCACAATGGTGGATAACAAGTATTGTTACGTAATATTTCTAAACAAGGGCGGACAACTCTCGATATCTTCTCCTTCATAAGCGGAAGTGGGATTTGTTTATAAAGAATAGTGTTTACGAGTTGTCATGTGAACCCACTTATACCGCTGCCTGAGACGGGGAACATGTGCAGACGACATGCAGTGGCGATAATGGAAGCACGGAACATGCTACAAGAGAAACAGCACCTACAGATTTAACCCGCTGGGCGCGTGGGATGGTTCCACACGTGATTGGAAGAATGCAGTTGCCCAACTCACGCTACAATTTCCACTGATATAGCGCTTTCTTAACGACTCCTGTCACGTCTAGTCGTTTCTTATACAATATATATGCTATCGTGGAACAAAGTGTATTTTGCATGTGATCGGCTCCTCGGACAATGACCTCTGCTTAAGATAAAGGAAACAAGCTTTGATCCGTGTTGAACACATTGAACCATATACTTGAACTACTGTGTATCGTCATTGGTATCGTCAGCCCAAGTGTACCATGGAAAGTTTTGTGTGAGATCTTAGGTGGAGTTGTATGAAAAGATTGTCAATTGAACAATGACTATGGGTCGATCAAGCTCAGACACAGTCAAGAACCGACTGTCCACGTCTTCTCATCGAAGGGATACATACAGCATCCTGGATATTGAGATCGACCAGGGGATGCCCCAGACTTGCAGCTCAGGCCTGTGTGATGTCAGCCCCAAAGACATCCCACTGTACAAGTACAATGAAATACCCGACTTCCTTCAAGGGAATCCATTTGTTGTTGAAGGTTACAGAGTATCTCTTCCATTCAGTCTGTGTCTGAAAAGGTAATTTAGTCATCTTTGTTGTGGGAAAATGGTTTTAAAATCAAAGTAAAATGTTTGTTTAACTCTACTGCAGTATATCTAAAATGATTATCGATTTTGTCTTTAAAAGTCTGTGTCTGAAAAGGTAATTTAGTCATCTTTTGTGTGGGAAAATGGTTTTAAAATCAAAGTAAAATGTTTGTTTAACTCTACTGCAGTATATCTAAAATGAGTATTGATTTTGTCTTTAAAAGATTTCGTTCTGTTCCCTATCTTGCTTATGTCTTTGTTAAATGATAAGCAACTTTCTAAGGTTCGAGTGAGATGAAATGAGAGGATTTTTCATGCCTTTAATGTGTTTAAATTTGGGTATGTGGCAGCAAAATTAGAATAGGCATCATTTTTATGCAAAGTTGAGTATCAAACTGTCGACTATAACAAAATTAGTTATTCTGTACGTGTATAGATACAAATTACATTTGTAGACCTGCAAGTTGATGCTAAATATGAATTAGGTGATCCATTAAATGTCTAAAATTGAATTTTCTGCATTCTCACTGTCAATCTTGACCATGTCATTAAATCTGAAATAAAAGTAAACACTTCTGTGACAGTGAATATTACTTTAGTATTGATATATTTAAATTGTACTGATACAGTATACACATTAAAAAAATAGGCATACATTGATATATGATGACATTCCTAAAAAATAAATTCTTATTTCTGCCTATCGCTCTCTCTTTTGTGGGGACACGGGTGGCCCAGTCGTCTAAGGCGCCGCGATTCGCTGTGCAGAGTTGCGTCCCTTGGGCACGCCAGAAACCTATGATTCTGGGTTCGAATCTCGGTTCGCCCCAATTATGTTTCTAGGTTTATCAGCACCATACCCGTGCTCGTGGGTTTCACCGAAGTGGTAAACGTCTGAGACCTGCATCACTTTGGGCTTTCCCTCCACATTAAGCTTACAAACCGCGATATAACTCGAATACTGTTAAAAGTGGCGTTAAACCCAACTCACTCTTTCTCATAATTGTATGAAGTAGCTGACAGGGTCAACATTAGTACTGGCCGGTATTACCGATATATATGTGTACTGCAATGCAGAACTACAAATGATGCTATCGCGATATGTTTTTCATGTATCAGTATTTTGTGCTTATTTTTTTGTTAGTGAAATAAAACATCAGTAGACATGAAATTTATAATACGAATGATCAAGACAATATCACTACATAAAATAGAAAATAAAAGAAACATCGGGCCATGCTCCAGAAATGTTAGGCAGTGATTACTTCCCTTTGCATCGTCTCTATGGAAACAATATGGCAGACGAGTTCGAGACAGTTGCAAATAAGAGGGGGAAGTTGGATATTTGGAGTTGTTTTTTTTCCTAAAATATGCAGTGATAAAGTTGAAGAATACATTGCGTTTTTTGCCGCAAATGCAATGCAAGTATCCGCCACATGGGTGGGACAACAAATCTGGCCTCCTACATGCGGCAGCACCATCCACTCATTGTGTTGACTTCGTCATTTAAACTCAAAGTGGGATAATAGTAAAACTGGAAATCTTGGTCACAGAAACACGAACAAAATTCAATTTCATCACCAATTTCCCGATCCCAAAGCCCAATCAACATGATCAAGCATCTGTTTTCTCCAACCAAATAATACACTTCAGCAAGAATGCAGTATACCGGACACCTTCCGCCATTTTGGTAAGGGATGTGCACAGGCTCTTTCCTTAGTAACGGTTTCTAAGTTTCTCAGAAATATTCAATCAATCAATAAATAACATGGAATATATTTTAAAAGATTATGTTTGATGTAAACATATTATATATTTGAATATTTCATTCATCAAAAACAAATTAATCTAAATATTCTATCAATAAGTTAATTAATTCATTTAAAACATGGCATATATTATGATTTTTAAAATATTATTTTTTATGTAAATGCATCATATATTTGAATATTTAATTCATCCAAAAAATTTATCTAAATATTCAATCAATAAGTTAATTAATTCATATAAAACATGGCATATATTATGATTTTGAAAATATTATTTTGTATGTAAATGCATCATATATTTGAATATTTCATTTATCCAAAACAAATTTATTTAAATATTCAATCAATAAATTAATTAACTCATCAAGAACATGAATATATTTGAACTTTGAAAAGAATTCTTTTGATGTAAATGTAAATTGTCCAATTGTCATTAATAAGCAATCAGCTATGTCTACTTGGTAACTGCTTCTTGTGACTCTTGTCAAATTTCTGCCTTCCCAATATATCACAATAAAATCATAATACAATTTCAGAGCTCCAGATAACTTTTTGAGCAATTTTTACTTGACGGTTTCTATTTTAATTGGGTTATTCCATTTTCTATTGGGTAACCAAATTTTTTCACTCATCTATTTATCATGTTTATCACTCTATTTGTTTTTTTCCCAAAATGAGTAAACATTTTGAGATTAAAAAAAAATGAAATAAATTTTTAGATGTAATATAACGATTCTAAATATAGGCTTGACTCGGAAAAGTAAATTAGCTTGTAATTGTGTTTTGGAAATTAGCTCCGTTGTTTGCTTCACTGGGTATTTACGCGGCTGTTTTCAAACAATTGAGTTTTCCATTTCATTTAATGCATGCGTTTCTGTACACAAGTTAATTGAAAGTAATTGGGTTTTGAATAGTTTTGGGTTGTTTTTTATGCCAATATGCAGCTTATCTGTAGCTCTGAATTTGAAAGATCGCAATATATTGCAATATCCTTTTTTGTCCAATTCCCAGCCCAAGTCAACATGATATCAACAGTGATGTGCTTATTATGTGCTTTGTTTGGATTTATCAATTCACTTATTTTGAACCATGTGGAATATAAATAAAACTTACTAACCATCAGCCTGTGTACATCATCACTATTATTCTTCAAGTGCCCATGATGATGTATTTTGATGTACAATATTAATCCTACCCCAGGGAATTCGGGGTTTCAAGAAGTCCCCAGCAACCTACACAAACAAATGGGTCAGGTTCAGTTACTTGGTGAATTGTATGTCTTTGTACCCCAATGGCATGGATTATTGCTCACAATAATGATCACTGGATGATCTGGTCCAGCCTCAATTATTTACAGGCTGTGGTTAGGTAGCTGAAATATTGCTGAGTGCGGCAAGATATCGAGATAAACTGGATATCCAGAAATGCTGATGTTAGTTTACTTTCACTTCGCTGCTGTTATTTTGTTGCTTTTTCTGAATTTTTTATTTGTCTGATGGCAGTTAGAAATGAAAAAAGAATAATTAAGTGTGCCACAGCATTGCACAGGGCATGCCTTTTAGAATTAGCCTGTACCAACTAGAATAATAATTTCAAATGATAGTAAGAAGTTGTAATTTGGAAAATTTGTCCCCATTTCTTTGAGATTAATAATACCCCGTTTCATTTCTAAATACCCAAATATTGTTTTTATGAATGATATTGTGTATTAGGCATGTGTTACGTATGTTTGTATGTATGTTAGTGATTTCATACAGAAAACATTGTCACAAGGTAGTGATTTCCATGTGCACCTTTCAAGGAACATGAACACTTTGATTGTGCCATTGCAATTTTAACCATTATTTGAGGAGCAGTCGAGTAGCCTTGTGGTTAAAGCATTCACTTGTCACGCCGACGACCCGGGTTCGAATCCTGACATGGGTTCAATGTGTGAAGCCCATTTCTGGTGTCCCCCGCTGTGATATTGCTAAAAGCGGCATAAAACTCACTCACTCACTCACTAACCATTATTTGGCACTATAATGCAAGGTTCTTGGATATCATTAACACCAGGTAGTTTGCTACTTGAGAGAGGGCAAGTGCCTTCTGTTTGTTCTGTAATAATGCAAGCATCCCTTTTTATTTCCAGCTTGTTTCTCTGGAGCAATGAAACCATCAACATCTGGTCACATCTACTTGGGTTCTTCATCTTCCTGCTGCTGATGCTGTACGACAACATCATTGTCATTCCCTCCTACAGCGGCACCCTCTCGGACCATGTCGTCGTCACCGTCGGCCTTCTCTGCTATCAGGTGCTCACACCGTCTTGCTGGCAAATGTCACAGATACCAATCCATGTTGAGATACTATATATATGTGTAACATATGCATTTTGTGAATCAATTTCTTCAGTCATGGTAATGTTAAGAAAATAATTCAAATTTAAAATGACAAATGTGGTTTATCATCTAGGACAATTACCCCTTGGCCATATTGGGGGTCATGGTCAGAAAAGATCCCCAGTACCTCAGGACTAAAATGTGGGTTGTTCTGAATTTGGAAAACACTGACAAGAGCCTTTGTACATTCTTATACATGATAGGCGACTATGCTTGTCATAAGAGGCGACTAACGAAATATACCCTCTTTGTCAATTTCTAGCGCCTTTCCTGCCCAAAATGGTATTGCCACACAAACTTGGTAACAAAGGGGGCGGTCGGGTAGCCTAGTGGTTAAAGCGTTCGCTTGTCACGCCAAAGAACTGGGTTCGATTCCCCACATGGGTACAATTTGTGAAGCCCATTTCTTGTGCCCCCAGCGATGATGTTGCTGAAATATTGCTAAAAGCGGCATAAAACCTCACTCACTCACTCTGATAAGTAACAGTTGTAACATGCACCTCTGTATGTTGTAAGCTGCATGTGTATTTTTCACAATACCTATCTAAAGACATTGAGAAGAAGTACTTTTGTATCAATATTAGCTTCCGTGGAGAGGCAGTCGTCCAATGAGCTATTTCAATCAGAGATGGTTGTTATGATTTGAAATTTTTATTGACCAATCAGAATTGAATATGACATGGTAGAATTTAGTGCAGTATTTCAGTCATGGCGTGTCAGCTTGATGTGGGAGGAAAGCCCAAAGTGATGCAGGACTTAGACGTTTGCAACTTTGGTGAAACCCACGTCAGGTGCTGACAATCAAATCTGGGATTCTAACACAGCGTCACAGGATTCTGGCATGTCCAAGGGGCACAACTCTGCAGGGCTTCCAGACAACTGGCCACCTGTGCACACAGTTATGTTGAGACAATGTTATTATCAGAACAGTTGATGACTTAATTTTGATTTTAAATCTAACATAACCATATGTCTTGTGTTGTAGTTCTGCATGCTGTGTTCGACGGGCTTCCATGTGTTCTACTGCCACTCCGCCCGGGCCAGCAAGCGGTGGTTGGCGGTCGATCTGACGGGGATATCAGTGGGCATTATCGGCTGTTATCTTCCTGCTGTACATTATGCATTCTATTGTTTGTCTGTAAGTAAGCCCCACTGAGTGCTGTACATAGGAGTTATCAGACTGTGTCTACCTAGTTACTGATCAACCTGTGGCCTGGGTCAGTTGGTCAGGTGAAGTGAGTGCTTGTAGATGGTTGATGAACGCATTTAGAGTGCTTATGAACGCATTAAGAGATAGATTGAGACGCTTGTAGAGGGTTGATGAACGCATTTAGAGATAGATTGAGATGCTTGTAGAGGGTTGATGAACGCATTTAGAGATAGATTGAGACAGTTGTAGAGGGTTGATGAACACATTTAGAGTGCTTATGAACGTATTTAGAGATAGATTGAGACGCTTGTAGAGGGTTGATGAACGCATTTAGTGATAGATTGAGACGCTTGTAGAGGGTTGATGAACGCATTTAGAGATAGATTGAGACGCTTGTAGAGGGTTGATGAACGTATGTAGAGCGTTGATGAACACATTTAGAGTACTGATGAACGCATTTAGAGATAGATTGAGACGCTTGTAGAGGGTTGATGAACACATTTAGAGTGCTTATGAACACATTAAGAGATCGATTGAGATGCTTGTAGAGGGTTGATGAACGCATTTAGAGATAGATTGAGACACTTGTAGAGGGTTGATGAACACATTTAGAGTGCTTATGAACTTATTTAGAGATAGATTGAGACACTTGTAGAGGGTTGATGAACGCATTTAGAGATAGATTGAGACACTTGTAGAGGGTTGATGAACACATTTAGAGATAGATTGAGACGCTTGTAGAGGATTGATGAACGCATTTAGAGATAGATTGAGACGCTTGTAGAGGATTGATGAACGTATGTAGAGGGTTGATGAACACATTTAGAGTGCTGATGAACGTATTTAGAGATAGATTGAGACGCTTGTAGAGGGTTGATGAACGCATGTAGAGTGTTGATGAACGCATTTAGAGTGCTGATGAACGCACATAGACATAGATGGGACGCTTGTAGAGTGTTGATGAACGTACATAGAGAGAGATGGGATGCTTGTAGAGTGTTGACATGTTTGTTGAGTGTTTATGAATAGACTGAGTATATAGGTGACTAGAGTAGATTGACAGGGACAGTGCATGAGTGACAACAGGTCACCGTATTCAGTAGGTAGATAACATGATACTGTGTAGATACACACCCGTAGCAAGTAGAGAGGCTCATGTAGCTGATCATATCGGTTCTGTGATAACTGGCAATTGATAATAGTTACTATGATATGTACCATATGTCTTTATTGGTTGATCAATCTTGTCTTCACAACAATCTACCTGTCAAGCCAGACCAGGGAAATTGAATCTGTATTTTCTGTCACACCTCAATTGTTCTATCCCTTTCAAACTGCTAATGTGGAATTGCAATAACAATACATTTTACCATAAATTGTCTGAACACAATATTGCTTAGAATGACTCAAATTTTATATTTTGATTTTGTGTGAATTTTTGTTCAGAAAAAAAGCAAACATGATAAAAGGAACAGAATTTTGAATATATTTTTTAACTGGTTTAGATTTTAGTTATATATCAACCTCTAAACAGAACTCAGAATTAAGATTTTGAATATGTTTAGATATCAGTTTTAAAAACCCTAACCTTTGGGTCCAATCTGCAATTAACCACCAGTAGGCTTTAACCTATCAAATAAAAACTGGAAAATTTTGAATTATGCATCTCTAGACAGTCACAGTATCATGACATAGGGCTGAAATAGGCACACTGGAACACTAAAGGTTTGACATATGTTGTGTTTTCAGATATGGCGGGATATTTATCTGATCATAATCACGCTGCTGGCAGTGGGCACCATCTGTGTTCAGCTCCATCCTCGCTACTTCTCCCACGCCTGGTTCTATCCCCGCATGGCCATCTACTTCTGTCTCGCCGCGTACGGAGTCATCCCCACGGTGCACTGGGTCTACCTCAGTGGCGGCCTCGGTGCAAAGGTCGTTCAGGTCAGTGACGAGGTCAGATAACATCAAGCTGACAGGCAATCATATAACGCCCGACCTTTTATTAAACTTGGTCTTGATCAGGTGTTCAGAATCAGTGACTCGGTTGATTTTGTGTCATCGTACCTCGCCAGTATGGATCTGTGTTAATAGTATCGATCACTGGTTTGGTCAAGATTTAATTATTTACAGGACGGTCATGTATCTGGAATATTGATGTGTTAGGCGATAAATTGGGACTAGACTAAGGCAAATTGACAGTTCTAGCAAATAGTTCAGCTATCCACTAACCTATATCAAAGTCTAGTTTCCACCCTTGCCACTTCAAGGCCACTTTTCTTGACTCCTCCCTGGCGCCACCTCTGACCACCACTAGTTGTACCCCTTGTAATGAAAACGTGATGTCCAATCATATCGCTGTTCTTATCTCGTATAGCTTCACAAAGATGGCGACTTCCATAGGCGACGACCTAGTTGATAAGATAACAACAATGATTTCATCCCTGACACAAAAATATAGGCAATCGTTGGGGTGATTAAAAGATGAAAAGTGAGTATGGTTTTATGCCACTTTTAGTAATATTCAAGCAATATCACGGCGGGGTACACCAGAAATGGGCTTCACACATTGTACCCATGTTGGGAATCGAACCCGGGTCTTCGGCGTGACAAGTGAACGCTTTAACCACTAGGCTTCCAGACCGCACCTAAAGATGAAAAAGACATATTCTTGTCAACAAAGACAGGCAGTGGTAAATCACTTTTATACGAGGGTGTACCAGGCGTGGATGTTAATTTTGTGAAACGTTCTCCGATTGGACTATCGATATGTGTGATAGTCAAATCATATTTAGCACAGGAAAGTGGGCTTGATGTGGCAAGGATGGAAACAAGACTTTGATAAAAAGGCTAGTGGACGCTTTTGCCTTGGGAAGATGGATGGCTTTAGGTACAATACTCTATTTGGCTGAAAAGCAAAATCTTAAGATGCTCATCAGCCTAACATTTAATGAATACCCTAATGTCATTGAGACAGTGACTCATCAGTTTGACACATAGCTCTAATTAGAACAGCTAGTCTACAAATAGGCTAGAAATAGGCTAGAAATAGGCTCTAGGTCATGGAGCACAGTTCCTTTGTACACAACAGACTGAGAGTTGTGAAGTTTGTTATTATATCTGACATCCAGAGTGATAGCCGATACCACAATGACATATAGTCCTGTGAGCAATGGTGACCACATGGAGACAAGTCTGTAACAAACCAGGTTGTTCATGAAGATGTCATTGTTTCAGCTCTTCGTACCCAAGGTCATCACCATGTATGTGTTGGGAGCAACAGCGTTCTTCTTCTTCCTATCAAAGTTTCCAGAAAGAGTGTTTCCAGGTAAGAGTCTTTAGTCTCCGTTTTACCTGGTGAAGGGCATTGATGTAGGCATCGACAGTGTATCTATGCTGTGATCCCTCCCCACCAAGCACTGCACGACAGGCCCAGGGATTAGGTGCCTGTGTTTTGTCTGTTTGCCAAACTGAACTGGATTAATGGATTTGAGTTTGCATATCAGTAAAATGTTTCATCAGTTACCATGTCAGTCTCTGTCAGAAGCCAAGTAATGTATCAACAAATGCAACTTGTACTCCAGATCTATAAAGCAGTAAGTGTTGTATCTCCCAAGTCAATCTTGTACTCCTGGTCAATCATAAGTCAACCATTGTATAAAAAAGGTCAATCTTGTACACCAAGTAACTCATAGGTCAAGCATTATATCATCAAAGTCAATCTTGTACCTAAATGTTATCATACATCAATCATTGTATTAAAAAAGTCAATCTTGTACTCAAAGTATATCATAGGTCAAGCATTATATCATCAAAGTCAATCTTGTACCTAAATGTTATCATATGTCAATCATTGTATTAAAAAGGTCAATCTTGTACTCAAAGTATATCGTAGGTCAAGCATTATATCATCAAAGTCAATCTTGTACCTAAATGTTATATGTCAATCATTGTATTAACAAAGTCAATCTTGTACTCCAAGTATATCATAGGTCAAGCATTGTGACATCAAAGTCAATCTTGTACTCAAGTCTTATCATAAGTCAATCATTGTATAAAAAAGTCAACCTTGTTTGCAAGTCTTATTTTTAATCAATCATTGTATCATTGTATCCATCTTGTACTTCAAAGCGACACAGATATTTTGCTAATCAATTTGCTTGGGGGGTCAAAAGAGACATGTAACTATGTTTGTGAAGCACCATATAATTAGCTCACCATATAATTAGCTCACCTGACTGAAAGTGTTGAAGTAGTAAGTCAATCCTACCATAAAGCCTAGAAGGCCTGAGGTGAGTCCATATTCAAATTATCCCGATACAATCTGCATGTTGACCTCCCACCTCATCACCTCTGTATGCTTGACCCGGCTGCTTATCAAGCATTTTCTTGTTTATTTCAGGTATATTTGATTTCCTTGGTTCAAGTCACCAGTGGTGGCATTGCATTGTAGTGTGTGCATATCTGTGGTGGCATCACTCAGGCCAGGACATACTGCTGTATAGGACAACACATGAATGCTCAGTCTGACCTTCACCTTGAACCCTTGAACCTTGACCTTCAGGAATCCAACCAATCCCCTTGCTTGATACAGACAGCTGCATAACATTATCATCAGCTAGTTACATGAATAATAAGGGCATATACACTTTTACAGTTGTTTTTTACACAATTATCAGGGAAAGACGACCCAATTTTGCATAATTGTTTTATCATTATAACCGTCCTGTTTTATATGTTTTTGTTATATTGTGTTTTATATAAGTGTGAAATATTTTTAGGATATTTGGTTGTATGTTCGGTAGATTTTATGACTAGCTGTCAATGTGATATAACTGTGTATAGATCAAGGTGATAGAAGGAGAAATGCATGCAGTGTTTAGGATGTGTGTGAAAGATGGGCTATTGATGGTGTCTGTAACACATGATAATGGTTTTGCCTCAGTTTGTTTGGCTAAAGTTAAGCTGAACATGAGCAATTAATTTGCAGTAGCATTTGAAAGATCTCATTATTATTTCTTAAACTTGATGTAGAGATGTAGAGGTGTGTTTTTTATGATTAAATACAGATTGTAAGTCTTTTAACTGTACCAGGATCTGCTTATCAGGGGTCAAATCCCATTTACCGAGATTATGATCCTTGGTTTGTCAGCACCACACCTGTAGATGTGGGTTCCACCTTGGTCAAATAACTATCAATGCAGCTTTAAACCCAACTCACTCACTCACCCAACCTAGCACCAAGTCTTCTGCTATCTGTTTATCAGAATCTGTTGTGTTGTAAGGTTTGACAGGTGTAGTCCATTGCTTCAGTGCAAGCCGTATGTATGTTCAGTCAGAGAGGTAGAGTAACAAGGCGCTGTCTCGAGATACTTTATCATGGTGAGGAGGCAAGGGGGGCCTAGTCGTCTAAAGCGCTGCAGTTCATTGTGAAGAGTTGCTTCCCTAAGTGTGTCAGAAACCTATGATTGTGAATTAGAATCCTAGAGGGCAGAGGGGTTGCCTTGTGGTTAAGGCGTTCACTCGTCACGCCAAAGGCATGGGTTTAATTCCCACATGAGTACAATGTGAAACTGGTGTTCTGGTTGCTTGAATGTTGCTGAAAGTGGCATAATATCCATCAGACTCGCAGTCCAGATTTGATGGTGTGAATCGATGCTCATGCAGTTGACCACTGGTTTCATTGGCCCAGATTATCTATAGACTACTGTGATATAGCTGAGTGTTGCCAAGTGTGGCGTTGAACACCATCCCTCCACTGACTCCATCCCCCCCCACTCTGCCAGCCAGACAATGCACTAAGAGGTGCTTGTTGTTGTTTCAGGTTTCTTTGATTACATTGGGTCCAGTCATCAGTGCTGGCATACTCTCATTCTCTGTACCTTTCTGTACTGGCACGAGACCGGCTGGGACTTTGTTGTGTATCGGAGCTATATCTGTGAGATCTTACAGCATCCGTGATTATCATGTTTATCATAGCTCCATATATGTACTCCATTTCTGGTTTCCCCTGCCATGATATTAATGGAATATTGCTAAAAGCGGCATAAAGCCATACTCACTCACTCACCCATATATGTACAGTAAACTACTTTTAATACGAGTGAGTGAGTGAGTGAGTTGGGTTTTAACAGTATTCCAGTTTTATCGCGGTGTCAGCTTAATGTGGGAGGAAAGCACGAAGTGATGCAGGTATCTTTTAAAACGAACTCAAAGGGACCACTAATAACCGTAGTTTGTAATAAGCATTTCTACTGAGTTGCCTCAATCTAGTCGTCGCATTTTATCGACAGATTATATCCACTTTGAAGGATAAAGAGTAGTCACTGTGTCACTATTTGTAATTGAGGGTGCAAATTGAGGACCAGGTGTCATTACTTAATCCATTTAATCACCTGCCTTCAACTGTTAATTGCTGTCTTGAGCAGTTGTGTGGGGACATGGATGTTTGGTGAACTGTATGCATAGGCATCTGTGGTAATATTTTTTAATGTACATCTTTAGGAGGGGGGGTAAATTTTACGAAACATTCTTCTTTCTCTTTACTTCTTTTCAGGACATCACACGTGACATCACACGTGACATCACACATGACATCAAACATGACATCAAACATGACATCACATGTGACATCACACATGACATCACACATGACATCACACATGACATCAAACATGACATCACACATGACCTCACACATGTCCAGACACCCCTATTTCTCGGGAACAGTTTTTTTATTTAAAACAAAATCCTGATACCTCTCAAAGTTGGTGGGTGCACTGGCATTACATATTACAAAAGTTTGTAGTGGCTATAAAAATATTTTAATTTCAAGTTTAGTAATAAGCTGATACACGACAAACACATCTCACCCAGACATCCGCCACCTACCTACACGACAAACACTTATACACCCTGGCTTACAACTCTGTGGGGATTCTGAGGCAGACTAGGCCCTATGTGGGTGCCAGGGGTGTGGGACTTGGTCAATGATCTTCAGCACCAATTGCCTGGATTGTTGCTCATGCCGTCAACCTCTGGTTTGCCTGTCCTCAACTCTGTTATTTACCAACCACAGTAATATAGCTGGAACATCTCTTACGACATGAAAACAACATTCCCCCACCAACACTGATTATCAGTGGCCCCTGAGTTGTGTCAGTGTCAATCTCATTAAAATCATATCTTAGTATTCGCTATCGCTAAACAAAGATCTGAGGACATCCCATTATGGGTCACGTCAGAACGACCTTTCATCCAACCAATCTGAGCGTCGCTTACCAGATCATGAAAGTGACAGTGGGAATGTGCTTTCTATTCATGCAACCTCGAAATATTGAACAGAGGGTATTCAGAACGGCAGCTACGGGTTTTATGAATATATCCATACAATCTAGCTCATCTATAAGCCATTCCAGAATGTTCTTTTTATCAGTTTTAATTTTTTTTAATCGAGAATACGTCAAAATATGTTTTGAAGCGTAGTCGCCAGTTTGAAACTAGTGTCATAAAGCTCGAGAAAGCTGTCTTCTGATTGGCTGATGTCAATTTCTTGTCAGTCATTTCATTGGTCTGTCAAAGTTCGTTCTGACGTGACCCGTAATGGTATGTCCTCAGATATTGTTTAGCGGTAGTTAATGAGATTGGATCAGTGTAGGACTTATGTCATCATTTCAGTGTTAGAAGTCTCTGTCTGTTGTCTGTAGGGTCTGCCACAAGGTACTCCAGTGTAGAGCCTGTTTCATCCCTAGTATGATCCATGTACAATGCAATGCCACCACTTGCTTACTGACTTGCATCTACGTTTTGAGGGCATGCATGTCTCATTTGCCAGAAGTGCTGTAATTTGCTGTTCAGAGTTGTGTCCCTTGGGTGTGCCAGAAACCTGTGATCGTAAATTTGATTCCGAGATGTGCCCTAATTATGTTTCTGGATTTGTCACCACTATATTCGTGCACGTAGGTTTCACCAAAGTGGTAAATATCTGAGATCTGCATCACTTCCGGTCCTCCTCTCACATCAAGCAGACACTCAGTGATGTGACTGGAATACTGTTAAAACAAACTCATTCATTAACTTTCAAGTTAGTGTATGTTTTGTTTGTTTGTTTGTCTGTTGTTTAATGCAGCACTCAGCAATATTCTAGCTATATGACGGCGGTCTGTAAATAATCAAGTCTGGACCAGACAATCCAGTGATTGACATCATGAGCATCGATCCACGCATTTGGGATCGATGACATGTATCAACCAAGTCAGCGAGCCTGACCACCCGATCCCGTTATTGCTTTTTACGACAAGCATAGTCGCCTTTTACGGCAAGCATGGG